AAAAAAAAGTGCCTTTCCATTTTAACTTTGCAATAAAAATGATGGATCACATGAAACTTGTGAGAGATTTTTGTTGATCAGCCAGTTTTATAATTTACTTCCTATAGAGACTCTCTCAGATGGAGTGTAAACTGGTGTATTTATTGACCTGTCACAAAAGCCACAGATTATCTTGTCTAACCAAGCATTAAAGAGAGTTATAGGTTCCCAGCAGATGTTTAGTGAAGTGCTGAATCATATATGATTAGATGTCTAGTGAATGATATCATAATAACACAGCTATTTTCACTTGCACTTTTATATATGTTCTTGAATAGATTCTGACCCCGGAGTTTCATGAAATTTCCTTTGTCTTAACTGACATAGAAAAATAAGATAAGTTAAAGAAAATCTTAAATATAAGGAAGTTTATGTATTATATCTATATGTGTAATTCTAATTTAAGGAAATATCCTTAAGTAAAGGAATATTTATGAAACTAGGGCCTCATGACTAAAACCATATAATCAGATGTAGACAGGTAACATATGCTTTATATTCTAATGTTTTTCACATTACTTAAAAGTGTTATGTGTTTTCCTGACATTTTTATTTTCTGTGGGGACGTCTCTTATTTTGAGCTTTTATGACCGACTGATGCTATTTTTACATCTTTATCAGTTTAAAATAAAATCCTCATCTGTTTGTGTATATTGTTTGTATAGACCATGAATAGAAGTCGTGTTAGTTTGTCTGTGACAGAATAGTGCATCAGATAAAATATCTGCCCAGGTAATATCACCTGTCCTTCATTCTTACCAATGTTATAAGATAGTATTCTGTACAACATTTTCAGATCTATACCTAGGTTAAGGTCAAGGCAATTTTCCATTTACTGAGGTATTTGGTTCGTTGAAAAAAGTTAACCTAAGGAAATCTTAACTCACGTAGAAAAATATTGGATAAGTGAAAGAAAATCTTAAGTTAAAATATGTTCATCAGTGGCAGAACCTGTTTCTACTGCTATGCTTCTGGATTTGCGACTGTTCATAGAAAATTTTACAAGCTTCTCATTGTTAAGAACGCTTGCAATGTAGACGTCTCTTTGTTTAGAATTCTAGCACTGTAGACGTTTCTTTTCATGAGAATGTTAGCACTGTAGACGTTTCTTTTCATGAGAATGTTAGCACTGAAGATGTCTTTTTTCGTGAGAATGCTAGCACTGTAGACATCTCTTCGTGAGAACGCTAGCACTGTAGACATCTTGTCGTGAGAACGCTAGCACTGTAGACATCTCGTCGTGAGAATGCTAGCACTGTAGCACTGTAGATGTCTCTTTGTTGAGAATGCTAGCACTGTAGACATCTTTTGTTGAGAATGCTAGCACTGTAGACATCTCTTCGTGAGAATGCTAGCACTGTAGACATCTCTTCGTGAGAATGCTAGCACTGTAGACGTCTTTTTTCCCGAGAATGGTAGCACTGTAGACGTCTCTTTTCATGAGTATACTAGCACTGTAGATGTCTCTTTGTTGAGAATGCTAGCACTGTAGACGTCTCTTTTCATGAGCATACTAGCACTGTAGACATTTCTTTTCGTGAGAATGCTAGCACTGTAGTATGAGAATGTTAGCACTGTAGACTTTCTTTGAGAATGCTAGCACTGTAGACAGAAAGCTAGCACTGTAGACATCTCGTCGTGAGAACGCTAGCACTGTAGACATCTCTTCGTGAGAATGCTAGCACTTTAGACGTCTTTTGTTGAGAATGCTAGCACTGTAGATGTCTCTTTGTTGAGAATGTTAGCACTGTAGACGTCTCTTTTCTTGAGAATGTTAGCACTGTAGACGTCTCTTTTCATAAAAATGCTAGCACTGTAGACGCCTTGTTGAGAAAGCTAGCACTGTAGACGTCTCTTTTCATGAGAATGCTAGCACTGTAGACCTCTCTTTGTTGAGAACGTTAGCACTGTATCTGTCTATTTTTATGAGAATGCTAGCACTGTAGACATCTCTTTGTTGAGAATGCTAGCACTGTAGACACCTCTTTGTTGAGAATGCTAGCACTGTAGACATCTCTTTGTTGAGAATGTTAGTACTGTATCTGTCTATTTTTATGAGAATGCTAGCACTATAGACATTTCTTTTCGTGCGAATGCTAGCACTGTAGACATCTCTTTTCGTGTGAATGCTATCACTATAGACATTTCTTTTTTTAGAATGCCAGTGCTGACTGTAGAAAATTTACTCCATGAAGACTAGAGATACTACTCCATAGAGAATGTTGCCAGCGTTAAAATGGAAAGAGTAGTTATTGACAGGCTATGAATTGAGAGTATTAATTACCGACTGTATGACTGATTTGAGCAATGTCTATTTGTTCATTGTCAACAGTGAAGCCATTCAAGTTAATGTTTGTGCATTGGTGCACCTTGCATGTTTGCCAAACAAAGTAAGATTTTGAGTGTTGGAATGGGAAGTAATCAATACTTAACACTCCCCATATCATTCTGATGTACGGTTGCTAGACTGTGCTAGGTTAAGCCTCCATATATTTTTGCCAGTATCTCAGTACCAATACCTTTCTAAACATTTCAGAGTGTAGTTTATTTGCCAGGTGCCTGATTTTACAATTCTATTGATATTCAAATCATGGCCATCGACCCACAAAAAATTATACTTGACTAATATTTTTTTATTTTCATATCACTTTCTAACTACCAATATTACACTGGGATGAAAGGTTATCAAAAATGAACCAAAATATGCATCTTTTTCGGCAGAGGGGGAAGAGGAGGGGTTTTTTTATTGTCTTTTATTGTCTCTTATTTTGATCAGTTCACCTTATATAATTAATTTAAAATCCAATATCTCATTAGTAGCTTGAATGGCCCAAAGGAGCAGTAATCTTAATGTGGTATCATGGCCCAATATGGAAATTAATGGTTTATATTTGTAATATTTGTTGGTCAACTGAGTTTTATGGTAACCTGTTGTGGTTGTCTTTCATCCGGTGTAATGCATGGTATGCCTGTAAAGTTTTAGCATTTTTGCTACTTCTTCTGAAGAACCCTTAAATCAAATTTAATGAAATTTTGCAGAGACCTGTCCTGGCTAATGATGAATGAAAATAGTGAATTACACAGTCCCTATCCCCAAAGGGCCTGAGTGGCGAGACCAATTCACTCAAATATCAAAAATCCTCTTCTCAACACCCAGATATGATAGAAGTAAATGCTGCTTAAGGATGGAAGCAACTTAAAGTTCTTTAACAAAATTGTGATTTTCAAGGCACCAGAGTCTCACCTTTGGCCCTGGAGGGGTGGGGGTAAAGTTTACTATAGTTTATTTTGGAAAATTACATATCTGAACCTAATTTGTTTAATTTCCTTTGGAAATATTTCAAACTTGGTTAAAATTAGAAGTGAAGGATAGCTTGATTGTATATGCACATATTGATCCTGGCTGACCCCTAGGGGCTGCTGGGCTGGGCCAAAAGGGGTCAAATTGACTTAAATTTTGAAAATCTTCCCAACACACAGATATTGTAGAATCAAATGCTCTTCATGGATGGAAGTATCTGAAGTTGCTTTATCAGAATTGTGAATTTCATGATTCCAGGGTCTCATATTTCCCTCAAGAGAGATGAGTGAAGTTAACTTTAGTTTTATAGCCAAATTGAAATTTTAAGCATAACATTGTTGGAGTTAATAGTATTGGATGACAGCTTCATTGGTTTGAATATATTGCCACTGGGTGATGCCAATGGCGTTAAAATATATCACTCATGTCATACTATTGTCACAATTTCACAATTTCTTTTTCATGACACTTGAAAACCACTTACCCTATAAGCTTTTTATTCAGTGTTGCTTACCTTATTGAGGTGGCTGTCAAGGCCTCTGGGTCTCTTCTCTTCTTATCTATAATATAGCTTGAAGAGGATCTATGCCACACACACACACACACACACACACACACACACACACACACACACACACACACACACACACACACACACACACACACACCGTTTTAGTTTGTATAAAGCAATTACTCAGTTTCATTTTTTTTTTTTTAAATGAAGAGGATCTGCCCCCCCCCCCAACACCCCCCCAACACCCCCCCAACAACACCCCCCCCCCCCCCCCCCCCCCCCCCCCCCCCCCCCCCCCCCCCCCCCCCCGCCCCCACTTGCCCTCTCTCTCTCTTTTTGTTTGTATAAAGCATTTACTCCGTTTCGTTTTTCTTTAAATGGTGGTTAGGGCTGGTTAATGTTAATGAAAAAAGGTATGGACTTCACTGTTGGAGAATAATGACAGATTTCTTGAGAGCGTATCCTGTAATATTTTGACAATCAGTGAATTAATTACACTAAGCTGTGCATGACATATTTAATTTACATCATCAAACTAGGTAGTGATCTTGCATGTATATATGTCACACCCACTATTTTGTCTCATAGTGTGTCATATTAACAGGATTGATTAAAGAAACATGTGACATGTAATAACTCCTTTATGAACCAACAAACTGTACACAGTATCGACGGAAACTTTTCCTGGATCTACTGATAAATATTTGTATATTATGGATTTTAATAGTGATTTCATGTGACGGCCTGGCACAGTTGTGTGTGTCAATGAATCAATGAAATGGTCTCTTGGGGGGGGTCGCACTGGCTGAGTGGTCTGACCATGTTTATCACTTAATCCTCTACCTCAGGTCTGTGGTTCTCCATGGGAACTCCTGGGTTCCTACCATCCTGATATGGTTATTTCAGAAATTAGTTTTTTGTCAATGAAATTACATCCATACTGAAATGTTAACACGTTTCTAAATACAGTACTAGTTCTTACAAGGTTCTCAGTCAGGTGAAACTTGGTTTGAATTCTGACAAAGATGTCAATAAATGAAATTTTGTTTAAATCATAAGATATTTGAGGTAATAGCCACATTTCGCTGTGTAGACTTGAATTCTAAGCGTGTAAAGGTTAAATGTAAATATGTTTTATGTCCACAGCCAACATTTCCTTGGTGGAGTACCGCGCCCTTCAGCGGGAGTTGGACGAAAGAAATGTGCAGCGAGATGAACTCCTTTTCAAAGTCAAGGTAAGTTAACAGTAGTGTTTCTCACTGTTTACTCCAGATGACATTATATGGACTAAGATGTTAAGATGATATCAAACTGCAAACAAAATAATTATTTTGATAAAGGAATGAATGAATGAAGAATGAATAAATGAATGGTATATAGCTAACCCTATAGGATACAGGAAAATGTTGGCCACAGTTTAACTAAGTCTGTTTACACAAAGGTCAAAAATGGACGTTGAGCTTTTGTAGATTCAAATGTATACGTTAATATATATATGTTTGATTTTAATGCTGGGTGAAAATAACCTTAGGCAAATAATGTCCTGTATTTGCAATAGTCAGGCCATCAAATAGTGCAGACTTTTCATGTTTCCAAAAATTTTCAATATTAACTTAAATAAATCTTTGTGGTATATCAACATTCCGGTATCAATTTGAATTCTTAATTCTGTTTAAGTAGGATTGATTGTCATTGAATTAGTTAGCCTTGCACACATAGGCAGACATGTTACACAATTTCTCAAGTTTTGTTTCATAATCAATATTTATCATTGGATTATAGTGTAATGAAAGAAATGTCTGTGTAATAATTTCATTGTTTTCTATCATTGAGTTCAAGGCACTTGGGCCTACCAGGAATCAGATCTAATAATATCTCTAGAATGGCCATATTACAGAGTTAAAATTTTGCAGCAACTCTCAAAAACCAGATTGATCATTCTCGCAGAATAAAGACTACTGTTCCTCTGCATCCCCACGTTGTCGTTCAATGCACAAGTTTTGCTGCATTTCCATCAATGTCTAGGCATCCGTTTACGTATATGTGTAAGGCAAAGAAAATTGATATAAAGTTCACAGGATATTGTCAGGAGAATGGCTGGCCAGACAGATCTGTTTTACAGTCTTAACCCTTAGCTTCCTTGCATATAAATGTATAAGATACCATTAGGCTTCCTCCCACAAACCTTTTTTATAAGTCTGTCTGATGTTGTGCAAATCTGTGCTGGTATATGGAAGATTTAACTGCCTACTGTAGCAGTAAAGACTAAGTTTAGCTGTGTGCATATATTTTGCAAGCACTTTGAATAATGAATTTAAAATCTCGAGAAAAAAATACATTTACCACAATCTTTCCTCCTGTAAATTTGGACATTTTGGTGAAATTATTTTTTTTTTTTTTTTTTCGTTTTCTTTCCTTTTTTTCAACAATCAATAGTTTTAACGTTGATAGAATCGAAAGATGCTGCATTTTGTACAAGTCTTCAGTACTAATGGAAAATATCTATGGGGAAATATTTCTCTATTGTTATTGCTACCAAAATTGGAATGGGTTTGTTTAAAGACAGTACAATACCATGGCTTCAAATGAATTTAGAATTGGTCCATGAAGGACTTACATCTGTATATCCTGTTGTACTGTAGGAGTATTGATATTGAGGTTGATAATGTCCCACAAATTACCTCCCTGTCTGTATCCTCAAGTGTGTTGTGCCAATATAGGAGGTGTGAAATTGGAATTTGTTTTTTCACAGATGTTAAATATATACTTTGTACTAACAAGCACTTAAAGCTTAGTGTATTTGGTAATTTCGTAATACTTAGTGGCCCCATATCACATTTAATTTTAATTAAAAGAACATGATTTTTGTATTAATTTTTTTCTAATTAAATTTTGAATTACATGTATTAGGGTTTTGGGACATTGGTCAGGATAAATGAAGATAGATTTTCTTACATACATGTAATACAAGACTGTCAGTGATTCCTTTATCTCTTTCATCTCTGTTCAAAGTTCTTCAATCTAGATCTGGTACTTTCAGATTGGTGCCGACTTTAATTTATTGCTTTTTCAATTCAAATCAATATTTGATCTGTTTCCACATTGTAGTTTGTTCCAGACTTGCCTTTTACGGCGATTTCCTCAAATGGATAAGGCTCTAGGGAGTACTTTCCATCTTAGATATTTCTAAGTACTTAACCATTCCTTAGAAATAGAAGATTCCAAGACTGTAATGATCAGTATTTTCATATAAAATATTTCACATTAAATTTTTTTTCCTTCTGTAGGTTGAATTTTAAAGTTTTCTTAAATTGAATGATAAGTATGGCTCCTTGCTGCAATTTAAATACTTGCTTCAGCTACAGAACATTTGTATTGATTCTGGAGTGTTTCCACACATCTGTCATAGCCAATGCTAGTTTGTCTTTGTATACTTTATACTTGTTGTCAGAGAGACTGGCACACTGTACATTAAATTTCAGTGTAATCACAGAGTTTTAGAAAAAAACCAAAGGATTTCAGTCACTGGCTTTACATTGTGTAAGAAGAACACAAAGAATGATAGATTTGTCAGAGAAGTGACTGAAGTTTGTCAGTATCAGCTGATGATCAAAGGCCATGCAAATTTTTATTGGAAAGAAAAAGTTGACAGAAATGATATTCTATTCAAAGCTGATACTGTCATATTCTGAATTTTTTATGATTATATTACCATATTTGTAATAATCTTAACATATGTGTTATTATCTTACCATATTTGGAATTATTTTACCATATATGTGTAACTATCTTACCATATTTGGAATTATTTTACCATATATATGTAATTATCTTACCATATTTGGAATTATTTTATCATATATATGTAATTATCTTACCATATTTGGAATTATTTTATCATATATATGTATCTTACCATATTTGGAATTATTTTACCGTAGATGTGTAATTATCTTACCATATTTGGAATTATTTTACCATATGTGTGTAACTATCTTACCATATTTGGAATTATTTTACCATATATGTGTAACTATCTTACCATATTTGGAATTATTTTACCATATATATGTAAGTATCTTACCATATTTGGAATTATTTTAACATATGTGTAACTATCTTTTGGTATCTGATACTGCTTTATCATTGTAAATGTAGATTTTAATAGGGTTGACATTAAGCAAGATGAGTCTCTGAATCAATGTAATATCAAATATAAATACGAATGATATAGTGCTAAAGGGGGACACAGATTTATATGCTACAGCAGGAATACATAGATTTATCATGCTATTTAAAATATGAAACAAGCCTATCTATAGTGCCTAAATGAGAACACAAAGATTGATAGTGCTTAAAAGGGGACACAAAGATTGATAGTGCTTAAAAGGGGACACAAAGATTGATAGAGCTTAAAAGGGGACACAAAGATTAGTAGTGCTTAAAAGGGGGACACAAAGATTAATAGTGCTTAAAAGGGGGACACAAAGATTAATAGTGCTTAAAAGGGGACACAAAGATTAATAGTGCTTAAAAGGGGACACAAAGATTAATAGTGCTTTAATGAGGTCACAATAATTAGTAGTGCTTAAATGAGGTCACAAAGATTAATTAAGAACACAAGAATTTATAATGGCACAGTGAGAACATTGGGATTTAAGTGCTTAAGTGGGAACACAAAAATAGTGCTATAGCTTTCAGTAGGAAAAATTATTTGTATGTGCTGCTAGAACACTAAAGTTTATAATTTTAAAAGTACAAAAGAAAACAAAAATATCTAGTGATGTAATGATGATAAAAGATCTTAGGTGCTGTGGTTAATGTACAAGGATTTATAATATTGGATCACAGAGATAGATAGTATCTAGTGAGAACACAGATATGACAGTGTTGGAGCTGGAGAACAGATTTATAGTGTTTCAGTTAGAAAACAAAGATTTATGGTGTGTTTGCTTGTACATATAGATATATGGGAAAATGTTTGAAGATTCTATCATTCAATTATGGCATATATTGAATGAAAACAATATCTAAACAACATCTGTATGACGGTTAAAGTGTGAGTTATGATTAAATCTACCAGACGCTGACTGACAAAACGAAACATTACAAGTTACGACTGGAACGCGAGGAGAGCACTAAGAGACAGCACATGAAGATCCTTTGTAAAACACAAGAGACACAGCTGCAGGAAAAGGAGAACCTGATTACAAATCTACAGGGCCTACTGGAAGAGAATGAGGCCCGGGTACAGCAGCTGGAGCAAGGTATGGCCTGGAAACAAACATTTTAAACCTTTCCTTTTTAGATCAAATTCCCAGCCGTAATTCCAAAACTCCTAAATGGCAAAAATAGAAAACTAGTTTGGCTTTCTCTCATAATTTCTAATACACACACTCAGGAAAATCAACAATATCTGTCAGATTAATTGACATACTACATTCTGATGGCTTTAGTATATGTGTATCTATAGAATTTCAGTTATTTAGGACGCTACATGACTTAGATTTTGCATACTTATCAACTGTTAAGGAAGGGTAACCATGGCAACAAATAGCAGATTTTACCATGGTAACAGGTGTTTAATTACATATATGATAATTGATATTTTGAAAATGTCAACATAATTTGGCAATTTGTTTTTTATTAAGGTCCAGTAAAATGCCGGCCACTGGGCGACAACAACAACATCCCCCACACTGCGAGTGGGACTGCTATGAGGCTAATAGAGGAAGTGAAGAGACTTCAGATAGAGAAAGTGGACCTCACCCGTCGTCTGGAGGAACAATTACAGCTCAGTTTGGTCCCTAGTCCTGAAGGCAAAGCAATAGAGCCAGAGCCGGGAGGACGGGGAGAACTTGGTCTGGGACTTGATAAAACCATAAACGACCTTCAGAAGGAAAATCGTGACCTTCGGGACACCATAGATAGACTCCATAAAAATGGCCAGGTATGTGTACCAGGTTCAGGATGTTTTACTATCACCTTCATGTAGATGAGAATGACTTCCTCAGTGAATGCATATAATTCTTAAGACAATCTGTGATACTGGTTTTCATAATTATCATATTTATAGAAAACAATGTTGACTTCACTGTGATGTGCCTCGCAGACTTTTTGTCTGTGACTTTTTCATGCATCGCTGACTTTTTCACGTCTCAGTGATTTTATTTGTCATGTCTTGCTAACTAACAGTCATCGGACACTGGACCCTGTACCACAGACACTGAGAAACAGGTGGCCAAGCTACAAGGAGACAATGACCGCCTCCAAGAGGAACTGACAGACCTTAAACAGTCCTACGGTCAGTCAACTGACATGGTCAAGCAAGGTGCCAAACAATACCAGGTAAACAAAGATTTATCTCTTTGTGAAAACTTTGTGATATGATTGATAAATTACCTGATTAAGAGTGCAACTTAAACATTTAAACTTGCTTTTTTAAATATATGAAGTGCACATGATCATTTTCTTCAACAGCAACTTGATGACGAGGTATCCAAATTAAGACAAAAGATTACAACGCTTGAAAACCAGCTATCGAGGAAATCTGAAGAATTCACTAGTGTACAAAACAAACATCGTCAGGAGCAGACAACTCTAAGGAATGAAAGCCAAGCCACAGCACGAAAGATGAGGGATTTACAAGCTGAACTGACTGCACTACATGCCAAGGAGCCAGAGGTTTGTTAAAAGGGATATGCTTATCAAAGGACCAAACTGAGTGTTTTTCTTGATTCTTTTTTATGCAGAGGATTGTAAGAAAATTTCACATCCATTTTTATTGGGCCTGCTCTCATTTTATGATATTTCGGAAACATAATTTTAAATTTTACTGATCCCCTGGCAAGGTAAAAAGAAAAGAGTTTCTTGAATCTGATTTGAAATGAAAATAATTGTAAGATTGTTTCATTATGTAACTCAGATACTTACGGAAGTATTTCTAAAAACAGCACACAAAGTCTGAATCAATAATAGGTTGGTGAAATTACAATGGATAGAACATCATGGAGTTAATATGTAAGAATTGAAACAATAGAACTCTTAAGCCAATTACAGCTCCTCTTGTTATTATCACACATGTGGTTATAATGTATTTTACTTAACAGGTGATATGCTGATAAAAGAAAAGTTGTGTGATAATGTAAATATTTTAATTTTTGTGGGGCTTAATTTTCATGGTTTTTAAAAAAATCATTTCTTCACGTAGGTTTGATTTTGTCCTTATACTTATTATATTAACCTTTAGACACGAATTCCTGTATTAAAAGTTCACACAAAATGAAGGAAAATAAATACCTCACAATAATTGATGATTTCACAGTAAGATGCCTGTTCTCTGGCTTCAGGTTATCACAAAAATAAAGCGTGTGGAGGTACAGACAGAATCCGAGGAGCTCAAGAAGAACTTCTCCAAGTGTCAGGAAGAAAAAGTAGTGCTGGAGTCAGAGGTCGCGGCATTGAAACTAGAGATCAAGGAAGTCAGGCATCAGCTACAGGAAGCAGACAGACAATGTACAGAGAAGATTGAGGAGGTAAAAGAATAGTGGAAATATTTATTAATTTTCTTTCTTTTGAAATTTTTGTTTCACTCATAACACTATAATAGAAATACTAGATAGATACATGGTCTTTTCCTATAATAAACTTAATAAACAAAACATATTTTTTGTTTTGATTTGAATTCCGGAAATGGGCTTATCACAAGAGGATGAAATATTACCAAGAGGAAAGGATTGAATTATATTTATATCTACTGTTTATGAATACATATATCTTGTAACATTACATCATTTAAAACGTGTTTATAAACAATTAAGGGATGTAAACAAACATTTTCCATTTACAATCAATGTAAGTAATGACAAGACCACATACTCTCATACAAGCATGAATATTGTAAATACACACATTCTGGTAGGTAAAACTGACATAGAGACTGTGCAAGGCAAGTGTGAAGAATAATGAGTTAATTTGTTAATGCTTTGTTAGATGACGAGACTAGAACAGGAGACGGAGACTGTTACGCATCAGCTGATGGAGGAGATTGATAATGTGAAGAGAGAAAAGGAAGAAGCTGTGAGGTCAGTGAGACATGACATGGAACTTGAATTGGAAACATTACGTTTGAAGCACCAGCGTGTTTGTTTGCATTTGGAACAACTCAAGCCTATTATGGTAGAACTGGTGCGCGAGTATGTCCAGCTTCAGAAACAGGCCAAGAAGTTTCCCACCATTATTAAAGATGCTGTGTCACAGGTGAAAAAAGAGGTAAGCTTCAGAATTAACGTAAGTCTTTACCTTAACATATCGCATATCAAAAAGGTCTTCCGATATCAGGTGTGTACAAAGTGAAAAAGTAAGATATGCATCAATATGATTATCTAAGACTTCTGTCCATATGATGATATAGAACTCATGTTGATATAGTCATGTAAGACTTCTGACAATATATTATCTAAGACTTATGTCACTATTGATATATAGGACTAATGTTAATATAGTTATTTTACTCATGTCAGTATAGTTATCTGACTCATGTCAATGGAGTTATCTGACTCATGTCAATATAGTTATCTGACTCATGTCAATGGAGTTATCTGACTCATGTCAATATAGTTATCTGACTCATGTCAATATAGTTATCTGACTCATGTCAATATAGTTATCTGACTCATGTCAATATAGGTATCTGACTCATGTCAATATAGTTATCTGACTCATGTCAATATAGTTATCTGACTCATGTCAATATAGTTATCTGACTCATGTCAATATAGGTATCTGACTCATGTCAATATAGTTATCTGACTCATGTCAATATAGTTATCTGACTCATGTCAATATAGTTATCTGACTCATGTCAATATAGTTATCTGACTCATGTCAATATAGTTATCTGACTCATGTCAATATAGTTATCTGACTCATGTCAATATAGGTATCTGACTCATGTCAATATAGGTATCTGACTCATGTCAATATAGTTATCTGACTCATGTCAATATAGTTATCTGACTCATGTCAATGGAGTTATCTGACTCATGTCAATATAGTTATCTGACTCATGTCAATATAGTTATCTGACTCATGTCAATATAGTTATCTGACTCATGTCAATATAGTTATCTGACTCATGTCAATATAGTTATCTGACTCATGTCAATATAGTTATCTGACTCATGTCAATATAGTTATCTGACTCATGTCAATATAGTTATCTGACTCATGTCAATATAGTTATCTGACTTATGTCAATGGAGTTATCTAAGACTTCTGTCAATTACCTCCAGACAACGCGGGCCATAAGAGGCATCCATGACCACAACCAAGAGCTGATCAAGAAATATTACAGGGAGATGGCCCTGAGGAAGAAATACCACAATGAACTGGTGGAATTAAAAGGTAGGTATTCCTGTCAAAATACTGGTTAATCTCTGTTATTGAACTGTAGAATTCCATAATTCATATATGATTTTATTCACTAAAATAGGTCACTGTGACCTATAAATATTGACAGAGCATTGCACTTACTTGGGTGTGCTATATTAAGAGGATTGTTGTCTGTCATCCTGAAAACTTCATTTTTAATTTCTTTACATTGCAGGAAACATTCGTGTGTTTTGTCGTGTTCGGCCTAAGATTGCTGAGGATGGTAATGGTGTTATGTCTCAGTCTGTGGTCAGATACGACCAGGATGACGATGGACTTATCCATGTCCTCAACAAGGGTCGAAGTCAGACATTCGAAGTGGATAGAGTGTTCACTGAAACCAGTACACAAACAGAGGTATGTAGGAACTGTGTTTATAATTAATGTTTGTTTCACTTACGATGTAAAGATTTTCTTGGCGGTACTCATTTACACAGAATGTTATCTCCCCATTTTAGGCAAAAGTTTAGTTTGAGTAACGTTTTTTTTTTTTTTTTTTTCCTAATGTAAATCATGTGTTGCTTGGCTATCTCCTTTTCAAATGAAATACATTATTTTAATGAATTGCTTAAACTTCTGTTTTTATTCCACAGGTGTTCAATGAAGTGCAATCTTTAGTGACTTCCTGTATAGATGGTTACAATGTATGTATCTTTGCCTACGGACAAACAGGATCTGGAAAAACTTATACAATGGAGGTATGTACAAGGTGAAATGACTCTTTTCATTCTTTAATAAAAGAGAAATAGTACTGACAGCAAATTTATCAATTAAACTTTGTTTAAAGTTATGTAAAGAATTTGTTTTTTACCTATAGGTATGAAAAGTCTGATATAAAAAGATTCATTTTTTTGTCATGATAAAAGTTCCTGTTGTTATGGTAATGTTTTGACAGGGTCCACCTGACGATGCTGGCATCAACCAGAGGGCACTACAAGAGCTGTTCCGGGAGACCTCCAATCGAGGTTGTGACTGGACCTACAAAATAACAGTCACCGTCTTAGAAATTTATAACGAAGTCATAAGGTCAGTGTCAAAGTTCATATTGATGTTTGAAGTCTGATAATATTTTTGATATATAGATTCTGTTATCTAATACTGTAATGTGATGTAATGTTATACTATATATGATATTTTAAAACATTTTTGAAAATACTTGAGTAGTAGATTTCATAGCCATTTCCTCACACAAAGTCCACCTTGGTGTACATAGATAGGATTAAAGTATGCAGACGAAAAATCTTGTAATTTCTTTACTTTCTGTACTTTCCTTGCACTGTATAACTCCGTGCAAATATATTTCACATTGGTCACTTGTCTGATGAAGGTTACAGTGTGCTCATCAAAACATTGTTTATAAATTTCTTATTTATTGAAATGTAAGAACTTCAGTTCTATATTAACTATGCTCTGTTGTTATTTAGTGTTGATATCATAAATATCCTTTAAAAATCCCTGTCTTGTGTTATAAAGGCATCTTATATCAGTTATATTTGATCTTGTATTCAATCTACTTCCTGTGACAAAGGTAGTCTTTTTACTAACAGAGATCTTTTAACTCCTGGAGATGACACCTCAACCAAACTGGATGTAAAGATGAACACAGATGGTCAGCTGTATGTACCAGGTCTTTGTGTGAAGGAGGTGCGGTCAGTAGAGGATGTTAACAGGGTAAGTACTGACAGTTAGCTGTATGTACCAGGTCTTTGTGTGAAGGAGGTGCGGTCAGTAGAGGATGTTAACAAGGTAAGTACTGACAATTAGCTGTATGTACCAGGTCTCTGTGTGAAGGGAGTGTGGTCAGTAGAGGATGTTAACAGGGTAAGTACTGACAGTTAGCTGTATGTATCAGGTCTGTGTGTGAAGGAGGTGGGGTCAGTAGAGGATGTTTACAGGGTAAGTATAGATAGCCAGCTGTATGTACCAGGTCTGTGTGTGAAGGAGGTGTGGTCAGTAGAGGATGTTAACAGGGTAAGTATAGATAGCCAGCTGTATGTACCAGGTCTGTTTGTGAAGGGAGTGTGGTCAGTAGAGGATGTTAACAGGGTAAGTACTGACAGTTAGCTGTATGTATCAGGTCTGTGTGTGAAGGAGGTGGGGTCAGTAGAGGATGTTTACAGGGTAAGTATAGATAGCCAGCTGTATGTACCAGGTCTGTGTGTGAAGGAGGTGTGGTCAGTAGAGGATGTTAACAGGGTAAGTATAGATAGCCAGCTGTATGTACCAGGTCTTTGTGTGAAGGAGGTGTGGTCAGTAGAGGATGTTAACAGGGTAAGTACTGACAGTTAGCTTTATGTACCAGGTCTGTGTGTGTGAAGGAGGTGCGGTCAGTAGAGGATGTTTACAGGGTAAGTACTGGCAGTTAGCAGTATGTACCAGGTCTTTGTGTGAAGGGGTGTGGTCAGTAGAGGATGTTTACAGGGTAAGTATAGATAGCCAGCTGTATGTACCAGGTCTGTGTGTGAAGGAGGTGCTGTCAGTAGAGGATGTTTACAGGGTAAGTATAGATAGCCAGCTGTATGTACCAGGTCTGTGTGTGTGAAGGGGGTGTGGTCAGTAGAGGATGTTTACAGGGTAAGTATAGATAGCCAGCTGTATGTACCAAGTCTGTGTGTGAAGGAGGTGCTGTCAGTAGGGGATGTTTACAGGGTAAGTATAGATAGCCAGCTGTATGTACCAGGTCTGTGTGTGTGAAGGGGGTGTGGTCAGTAGAGGATGTTTACAGGGTAAGTATAGATAGCCAGCTGTATGCACCAGGTCTGTGTGTGAAGGAGGTGCGGTCAGTAGAGGATGTTTACAGGATAAGTACTGACAGTTAGCTGTATGTACCAGGTCTTTGTGTGAAGGGGGTGTGGTCAGTAGAGGATGTTTACAGGGTAAGTATAGATAGCCAGCTGTATGTACCAGGTCTTTGTGTTAAGGGGGTGTGGTCAGTAGAGGATGTTTACAGAGTAAGTACTGACAGTTAGCTGTATGTACCAGGTCTGTGTGTGAAGGAGGTACGGTCAGTAGAGGATGTTTACAGGATAAGTACTGACAGTTAGCTGTATGTACCAGGTCTGTGTGTGAAGCGGGTGCGGTCAGTAGAGGATGTTTACAGGGTAAGTACTGACAGTTAGCTGTATGTACCAGGTCTTTGTGTGAAGGGGGTGTGGTCAGTAGAGGATGTTAACAGGATAAGTACTGACAGTTAGCAGTATGTACCAGGTCTGTGTGAAGGGGGTGTGGTCAGTAGAGGATGTTAACAGGGTAGGTACTGACAGTAAGCTGTATGTACCAGGTCTGTGTGTGAAAGAGGTGTTGTCAGTAGAGAATGTTAACAGGATAAATTTGACATCAATGGCACAATGTTGAAATAGATGTGATCCAACAGACAAAGCCATTTACCGGCCTAAAACCAGCCTATATACACTTAAACAGGTAAATTAGAATTCAAATTTCTAACTTATACAGGTAAATTAGAATTTAAATTTCTAACTTATACAGGTAATTAGCGTTTAAAGATATTTGGAGCAATAATTCAGGTGAACAAGAATGCAACTGATGCTGATTTTGTTGATCATAAAACCAAAAGTTAAAGAACTTGATTGTTTTTAATGTTTTACTACAGGTATTTGCAACAGGCCAGAAAAACAGAGCAACTGCAACTACCAATATGAATGAGCGTTCGTCCAGATCCCACGCACTTTTGTGTGTCACAGTTCATGGTGTCAATAAGACAACTAATGTACAAAGTACAGGTAAGGACAGCCTAAGTCACAGGTGACAACTAATGTACAAAGTACAGGTAAGGACAGCCTAAGTCACAGGTGACAACTAATGTAAAAAGTACAGGTAAGGACAGCCTAAGTCACAGGTGACAACTAATGTAAAAAGTACAGGTAAGGACAGCCCAAGTCACAGATGACAACTAATGTACAAAGTACAGGTAAGGACAGCCTAAGTCACAGGTAACAACTAATGTTCAAAGTACAGGTTAGGACAGCCTAAGTCACAGGTGACAACTAATGTACAAAGTACAGGTAAGGACAGCCTAAGTCACAGGTGACAACTAACGTCCAAAGTACAGGTAAGGACAGCCTAAGTCACAGGTAACAACTAACGTACAAAGTACAGGTAAGGACAGCCCAAGTCACAGGTGACAACTAATATACAAACAAAGTAGGTCAGAGCATCTTAAAGGGCAGGTGATGTTCATGATACTGGTAAGGACATTCTAAAAAGGGCAATGATATTACTTGAAATCAGGAGATAGACATGGTCTGATGCTACACAGTAGTAAATTCTTAGAATGTTATATAGACAAAATACCTGACCACACCTCCAGAAGGTACAAAATTGAATCATAGACAAGTTTTTAGTTATTGCAAACACTGTGTCAATCTGAAGAAGTAAAACAATTGTAGTAATTCTTACAATATTTTCTTCATCAAATATTCACCTTGTTTTCATAGAATTATCCGTGTTTTTAGGAAAGCTGAACTTGGTTGACCTGGCTGGATCAGAGCGAGTGAGTAAGTCAGGTGCAGATGGAACGAGACTGAAGGAAGCTCAGAGTATCAACAAGTCTCTGTCCTCTTTAGGGGATGTTATACACGCACTACGAAGCAAACAGAGCCATGTGCCTTACCGCAACTCCAGGCTCACTTATCTACTGCAGGACTCCCTAGGTAGGCACTAAGGAATAAAAACTCACTGTTGTAGAATTATTTCCATTAGCTGTTTCAGCTCATACTAGCCTTCAAAACTACTACTGACAATAAACTGACATAACTGATGTCTATATCTGGAATAATGGTTTATGTAGAATGTTTGGGTAAAGAACATATCATTTTAAAAGGATTGAGTCAGTTGTTAAATCAATGACCTTTGACCTAGTACAGGTGGAGACAGCAAGACCCTAATGATCGTCCAGGTGGCACCAGTGGAGAAGAATCAGAGTGAGACTGTATGTAGCCTCAACTTCGCCCAGCGTGTCCGCACTGTTGAACTTGGCCAAGCCAGTCGTCGTGTGGAAAACGGTGACACAGAGGTAATTACCTCCCCTTATTTACAGACAAGCATGGCTTCACTGAAACTTGTGACGCTCATACGTTTGATTTATTTTTGCTATTTCATTTCGTCTCAGATAATTATACAGGTTTCAAGCTGAATTAGACATTAACCAATCAGGAGATAAAAAAATGTGATGAGCACTTTAATGCTGGTACTTATTTTATTAGTTATGCACTTCATTTCCATTCATGATAAAAAGAAAATCCTTTGCAAATCATTCAAGAACCTTTGAATTCCTTATCTACATCTACAGTTGTAATTTCTGAAATCTGCCACATGTATCAGTATGGGACAGAATGTTATTTTCATTCTGAGTGGCAGTATCTATCTTCCTGTCTTTGAAACTTGACAGCTTTGTAGGTTCTGATACACACATGTTGGTTTAGATTAGAGTTATTATAAATATTGTCAATATACAAGTGCATTTCATCATTTACGGAATATCACAGAAAATATTCAGGTAATATTCTTTAAACTTTGACTTTTTATTTTTTAGTAATTCTATTAATTATGTGGAATGATTTTTATTGCTAAAACATGTACAATGAATACAGTATATGTACAGAGAGAGAAGTATGCATATATGTAATGGAACTATATTGGGCCAATCTTTGGCGATCTGGCAGTTGGTCTCTCAAGAGGTCCTGGGCTCGAATCCCAGTTTGGTCATTCACATTTCGGCTCCTACAACATTTTATGCTTGTGACCAAATCTTGATTTGAGTAGTTGAATTCTTGACAAGGAGATATTGAAACTGGGTTGTAAATGGTTGTGTCTTTGGGGCAAAGACTAAGAAAAAGGAGGGAGGAATGTAGCAGAACTGGACTGGGTTGATTGTTGGCAACCAGTAGCACCACAAGTCTAGCATCTGTTTAGAGATCAGAGGGTCCTGGGTTCAAACCCTGGTCTGGCCATCAATACTTCCTTTCTCATTTATACACATCTACTATACAATGAATAACCAGCACTTTTTAGGAGGCGATTTATAAATTTATGTTTTTCTCTCTTTTTTTTTCTTTTTGAGAGAGAATAAGTCCAATGGGAGTCACATGCGACTTATAATAATTTTATTTTTTAATGTTAAAGCTGAGGATTTTAAGTTAGCTTGTAACTTATATAGCTCTGTTTCAGTTTCTTCAGCAGCGATGCTGTACCACTAAGCATGGCAGTAGATGGCTGTGTTATATACTCTCTTGTAGTATCTATTCTTTCGTTGATGCTTATTTTATCATCTTTTGACTTGCCATCTTTCCATGATTCAATCTGTGTGCTAAAATAGGCTGAGAGCATTTTTATTGTACCTGGTACATGTTTATGCCTTAAGATATTGATGGAGCTTAGGAAATACTTACGGTACTTGTTACATAACTTACAGATACTCATGTACCTTATAAAATATCTTTGGTACTCTGTACATAACTTACTCATGTACCTTATAAAATATCTTTGGTACTCTGTACATCACTTACTCATGTACCTTACAAAAGATCTTTGATACTCTGTACATAACTTACTCATGTACCTTAGAAAATATTTATGGTCCTCGTTACATTACTTACAGATACTCATGTACCTTAGAAAATATTTATGGTACTCTGTACATAATTTACACATACTCATGTACCTTAGAAAATATTTATGGTACTCTGTACATAACTTACTCATGTACCTTAGAAAATATTTATGGTACTCTGTACATAACTTACTCATGTACCTTAGAAAATATTTATGGTACTCTGTACATAACTAACTCATGTACCTTAGAAAATATTTATGGTACTCTGTAAATAATTTACAGATACTCATGTACCTTAGAAAATATTTATGGTACTCTGTACTTAACTTACTCATGTACCTTAGAAAATATTTATGGTACTCTGTACATAACTTACTCATGTACCTTAGAAAATATTTATGGTACTCTGTACATAACTTACTCATGTACCTTAGAAAATATTTATGGTACTCTGTACATAATTTACAGATACTCATGTACCTTAGAAAATATTTATGGTCCTCGTTACATAACTTACTCATGTACCTTAGAAAATATTTATGGTACTCTGTACATAACTTACAGATACTCATGTACCTTACAAAATATTTATGATACTCTGTACATAACTTACTCATGTACCTTAGAAAATATTTATGGTACTCTGTACATAACTTACAGATACTCATGTACCTTAGAAAATATTTATGGTACTCTGTACATAACTTACTCATGTACCTTAGAAAATATTTATGGTACTCTGTACATAATTTACAGATACTCATGTACCTTAGAAAATATTTATGGTACTCTGTACTTAACTTACTCATGTACCTTAGAAAATATTTATGGTACATGAAATAGCTTTAATTGTATCCTAGACCTTTGCTTTCCTTAGATATTTTTAATTTGTTGATGCTAATTTATAAAAAACATTAATTATATTATAGAAAAGAATTACCCTGGAGTATTATGAAATAGATTTTGGAACAGCAATCTTCTGCTCTGTGTCTGGTAGAAAGTGCTTCTAGATTGAATATATTTAATAAATGACAGATGTCAGACACGGATGATAAGCACATGGAGTGAAGATGTGTAATTCAGACAGATTGAAACATAAAATTTCTAATTTAGAGTTATCAATATTAATACTATTTCATAAATGTCATTTATTTTCAGGGCACAAAAAAACCTTTGAAATCATGATTTTGTGAGAGACCTGCTCAGCGAGTAAGAAATAAACAGATTATGTAATGCTGGCTGTTACCCTTCATGCCATTGGATATTGTATAAATGTTGTAGTGTAGTGCTGTTTATTTTGGTGCTATATTTGGCACTGTCGTTGGTCTAACCACCTTATACCATCACCTGCATGCACAAGCTTGTTTAGCTAGCTGCGCAGATGAAGGAAGGAATGTCATATTTTTATAAAATTCAGGATTATATTCATGATTCTAAGATAAAAATATTTTAAAAGTTAATTATTCTGGACAATGTATTGCCAATTTTTGTTTCAATACAATTTAATTTTTTTGAATTTAACATAATTATTCAAGTGAACAAACAAACCTTCAAACATTGGAAATTTTACGAAGATAATCAGAATTACTTTTTAATTTCTTCCTTTGTTTGTCTTGATTTATATTCATTTTATTATTTTTTTTTTTTTTAATCATTTTTTTTCATGAATGTTACCTCATATTTTGAACTTTAGCTAGTAGTAACAGCTGTTGAAATGAGAATGCAGTGATAATATGAGATGGTTTAATTTCAGAGTTACTGTTCCATATAGATTCCTTTGTTGTAATGGTGCATCTACTGTAACTCCCAATTACATCGTCTATTGTAACATTAGCATTACTTGTCATCCATGTTGATAGATTTAGTCAAACGGTATCGTCATCATGTATGTTTAGTTGTTTTCATCACCTCCCCCTCTCCCTCGCCATTTTGTGGGTAGGTAGTTTTACCCATACATATCTGTTTCCCTCATGTCAAGAGTAAATTTTCAAAAACAACAATTGCAAATCCAGTGATCAATCTACAGTTTATTTTCACATGTCTTTTTCAACATTATTGCTTAAAACAATGGGTTCCACAATGTAAAATTTTAAGAATTTTCACAAAATCCCATCAAAATTCTATGAGCACAGTACATGGGACTCACATGTAGATTTATCACTGTGAAAAATTCATCCAACAATTATACCGATATGTATGACAGAGCTTTCATGCCTTAAATATATTTTCTAGTTTGGAAGAATCTTAAGTCCACCAACCTAACATTTAATATGGTACACATATTAACAGAAGCTTGGACAATATATCTTAACTGAAATGTAAATCATGACATCACTGTTATTAATGGTACATTTCCATCTTGATATACTCAAAGTAACAGAGAAGGTTTACATGTCTTTCTGAATGGGTTCTTCAGTATCAGGTGACGTAATAATCAAACAATCTTTAATTAGTGTAGAAAGTTCAATTTTCATCGTGATTCAGGGCATGATTGGGTCCCTATTATATAATCCGATGTTGAAAAGGTAGTTTTGAAATAAGAGACATTCTTGGTATAACAGTATTGGCAGTTAGAATAGAAGTTCTTACAGCACAACCAGCACAATATTAGAGTGTGACGTTTCGATGACTAAACGGTCACCTTCATCAGACAAATGACCAGTTTGGAGCATATTAGCACTGATGTACTTAGTTTACGATGTGGTAAGAAATCAACCATTTTTTTGGCTGTAAATATCTGAAAGGATGGCCTCATCTTAGCTGTGTGGTACAGCTGAAAAAATATAATTTATTCCTCACCGTCTCGTACACTACTTACCAGAGTGCTTGTGTGCTCCACACTGCTCATTTGTCTGATGAAGGTGACTGTGTTGTCATGGTAACATCACACTCTAATCTTCGATTGGTTGTGTTATAAGTACTTCTGTTCTGTTGATATTATCAACCTGACGAAATTGTTCCCCACAAATATTATAGTGGTTATTGGTGCTACAGGCTTATACAAGGGTATTTGGTGAAAACAATCTACGCAAAAATGAGTGCTATGGCTGTGTATCTCAAATGTGGTGTACAAGTATAATGTACACATCACCATATATCAGGTGACTGTGTGATTATGTTATAGCATGTCAGTTTCAAAAACTTTTCATCACATTAGTAAATGTAGCTGATATATAACTGGCGTGTTTAATGACACCACCTTGCGAAGTACTATATAAAAACTTAGTACTGACAAGTGATTGTCACTTCCAAACAATAGTTATCTCCCCTCTATAAACTATGAAATAATACTTTTTTTCTCTCTTTTTTCAAATATTTTTGTTCATTTCATTATTGATATTATGATTTAATAATACAATACAGGCATTGGCCATCAGTTGATCACTGTGAGTTCCGTGTGTTCTAAGGGAGATAATCCCACTTATCCAATATATCTCAGGATTTATCAGTTGATATCTGGAAGGAAGGTTAATATCTGTTGGTTCCAATTTCATTGTGATGCTTAGTGACTAGTTTTACATGATGATGTAGTAGTATAGTACAAATACACACTTTGGTCGTTATTGTATGTACCTGGTAGTAGACAAATGACTTATCTATACAAACACACTCTGATTGTTATTAAATGTACCTGGTAGTAGACAAATGACTTATCTATACAAACACTCTCTGGTTTTGTTGTTAAATGTACCTGGTAGTAGACAAATGACTTATCTATACAAACACTCTCTGGTTTTGTTGTTAAATGTACCTGGTAGTAGACAAATGACTTATCTATACAAACACACTATGGTTGTTATTTAAATGTACCTGGTAGTAGACAAATGACTTATCTATACAAACACACTCTGGTTGTTATTAAATGTACCTGGTAGTAGACAAATGACTTATCTATACAAACACTCTCTGGTTTTGTTGTTAAATGTACCTGGTAGTAGACAAATGACTTATCTATACAAACACACTCTGGTTTTGTTGTACAATGTACCTGGTAGTAGACAAATGACTTATCTATACAAACACACTATGGTTGTTATTCAAATGTACCTGGTAGTAGACAAATGACTTATCTATACAAACACACTATGGTTGTTATTAAATGTACCTGGTAGTAGACAAATGACTTATCTATACAAACACACTCTGGTTGTTATTAAATGTACCTGGTAGTAGACAAATGACTTATCTATACAAACACACTCTGGTTTTGTTATTAAATGTACCTGGTAGTAGACAAATGACTTATCTATACAAACACACTCTGGTTTTTTTATTAAATGTACCTGGTAGTAGACAAATGACTTAATATATACAAACACACTCTGGTTTTTTTATTAAATGTACCTGGTAGTAGACAAATGACTTATCTATACAAACACACTCTGGTTGTTATTTAAATGTACCTGGTAGTAGACAAATGACTTATCTATACAAACACTCTCTGGTTTTGTTGTTAAATGTACCTGGTAGTAGACAAATGACTTATCTATACAAACACACTGGTTTTGTTTTTGTTATGAAGTCAACTGTGTACACATTGATTGCTGCTAATATTTTACTAGATATCACATTGAGTGTGTGCTAGTTATTATGGTTTTTTACTGTTAGTAATATTTGTTGGGATTTAATTTCACTGAATTGTCCAAAGTTGGAATAACCCACAAAATGTCAGCCCTATGAAATTAGATAGTTATGCAGTATCTTTTCAACCATGCTATTAATCTATGTGGTCCTTTGAAATACAAATGATAAAAGACTGTTTGAAAGTCAATTGTGAAAAATATCATCTATATAACTGTAATTAACAGGACAGCAAATACAGGGCCAATGCAAGATACAAGACCGGTTGTTATACAGATTCACTATAGGTGGTAAAAATTTCACAACTGGTGGTAATAAAAGACTGTTTCCAATGTGTTGTCAGTTAACTCCAGACTCTTTGTAACATAGGTTGTCAGTGGTTAATTCAGAAACATCTCCTGAAATATGTTATTTGTATGTTAATTGGTATAGTCTATTAATTAATCAAGGGAGATAATCCATGCTTAATTATTGTGAATGAAATAAGTCTATAGTGTACTAACAAGCATGTCTATTGAGTACTGTTTAATGCTTAGAAAGTATTTGTTTGTTCCTTTCTAGAATTAAAAATATTTTATTCTCAGATTGATTGCTTTTCTTCCATTAAGCAAAACCATTGACTGTTTCCCATTACTAAAACAATATAATTGAGGTATAGACTATGTTATACTCTGTACACTTAACCTTAACCACAAGTGATATCATCATACTAATGTGTTTTAGTCTAATGATGTACTAATATCTGCTGTTTTTATTTTTTTTCAGGGTGACTACGCAAACAGTCCAATGGTGAAGCCTTCAACCCCTTCCAGGAGTGGTGGTACCCCTTCACGCTCTGCCCACTTGACCCCGTCCCGCACTGGGGTGTCAACCCCACCTAGATCTGGCACCAACCCCCTCTCCTCTGTCACACGATCCACTCCTTTGGGATCTGCCTCACGGACTAAGATTTCCAAAGTTACAAGCAAACTCAATCTGTAACAGAAAAGTAAACGTAAAGTATTTGCTACAATGTTAAAACTCCAATTGTAATGCTGTTGTAAGTTGAAAATACATCTTGTTTTTATGCTCACTTGATATCTCAGACTCAAAACAAAAAGAAATTACAGACTGTTGTATAAAGGATGGATGTTTTGTGACATCACTACACAGAGATTGTGATTATTAGAGTCAACCATGAGAGAAATGGACACTTTACTCTTAATGGATATAAAATTTTAATCAGAAACGAGATTTTGTCTTGGTAATTCAACCAACCCAAACATGTATTTCATAATGATTGTCTCTTTTTCTCTCACCTCATTACTTCAGAAATTTTGTGGTAAAACATGACATTGACATTACAAATCTGGAAACAGATATATCAGAATACAGACGACTGTAATGGGATATTATACAAATAATTTCCATGGTCGTGAGATAGTGGAATATCAATCACAAGATAACGCAACAGATAGAATTTATTATAAAATCATTCTGTAATATTGTCATCTGATTTTGATCTTAAAAGGTAAAGGTCACTCAGTACACCCGTGAGAAATAGAACATATCATATGTGTCCTACAGAGGTGGGAGAAATAATGTATTTGTGATAAAGCGCTATTGTGGAGCTCCTGTGATATTTTGAACACATTTGTGTGATTTATATGGCCATATTTCAACTGCTGCTGTGGTATATAGTTTGGTGGTACCTATATCTGTTTTATGTATACGGGTCGATATGTTTCTACGTTTCTTTGTGTCATTGATTCCAATTTGGTAAATGGCGACACATTAATGATTAATTAATGAATATTCATCAGATTTTCACAAGCTGTGTCTAATTTTGTTCACATTACTCAAGTAACTTGAAAATGGAAAATGTGTATTTACAATTGCTAAAAAAAAAAAAATCAGATGTGGTTTTCTTCTCCTGTCATCATTCTAGATATCATACTGTTATTACTAATTATAGATTGAAGATTTTAATCCACCATCATGGAATTTGGTCTTTCTGTTACTAATGATATTAGTATATCTTTGTGCCGGACCTGTAAACCCCAGAACATATATCATACAGACGTAACAGGAAGTTCTACATCGGATTAGTTTTCATTGGTCAAAGAGAAAGGTCAATTGCCCACTTTTAAAACAAGAGTTGGGTACTAGTTATTGATAAAAATTCAAGGATACTTGGTGACATCACAACCACAGCCATGCTTTGATTGGCTTTTTCATATCTGTAATACCAGGGTATTTATTGTAACTGCCGTGCTGATACTGCTAAAATTATGATGGATTTACAGTAAAATAAATCCCTTAAGAACAGCTTTTATAACTTATCTAGGAACAATATCTTCAAGTTAGTCAACAGAATAGACATTGTTACCATCTTCTGTAGTTTTTGTCTGTAATTTGTTTACCATCTAGTTACACTATTTTTGACCTTAGTGTACTGAAGATTATAGTACTGTGGAAAAAGATGGTCGATTCGTTATCTCGTACACTGTGTTCATTAGTGTTCGTACGCTCCACACTGGTCATTTGTCTGATGAAGGTGACCGTGTAGTCATCGAAACGTCACTCTAATCTTCTAGTGGTTGTGTTACAAGAACTTCTGTTATAACTTACCATTTTGAAGTATTCTCATCAAAAGTATGTTGTATTATTTATCATGGAAATTGGCAGTGCAATTAAAATCTAGAGCATTCCTGTTACTTAACGGACAGCAAATTAACAAATGATGTAATAGGATTTAATAGGATAAATAAAGGGCATGGGCTTAGAGCCTCTATGTCCATATCGCAGATAAATATTTATAATCAGTTATAATGATGAATGATTCAGGACTTCTGTTACCTAGGTATAATTATTTCTTCTTTATTCAGGAAGCTGAAGATAGAATTAAAATATGACAAAACTTGTGAAATTCTGTTGACTATTTGTTGACTGACAACTGTTTTAATCCTATGATTATTTTCTCCTGCTTTTGATATCTATAGCTCAATATACACTTCTTTTTGTTGTAAATAAAGGACATTTGCTCTGGTAGAGACACATCCGTTTTCCATACATGCTGTAGTATGACATCCTACTTTCATCAGACTTTGTCAAAGTTCTGATCAGTTCCCTATAGACTTTCATTTTCTATTAATTAGTCATCATACACATTTAGATCTGATGTATTGTTAAGCTTTTAAAGCATAAACAGATGAGTCACTATTTTTTGGTGTTTAGTATAGGTTAGCTATAAACCTTATATAAGATCTCATGGATTTATTGTCTTTTTGTGTTCAAGTTTTTTTTAATTTACATCAAGTTATGGTTTTTGTCACAGTGAAGTGACATTGCTGGTCAGATTAGCTTTTTTACAAATGTTGGAAGTCATCTCATTATTCTGTATCACACGTTAGATAAAGAGATAGAAACTTAAATCAAGATAACTTAGTATGAAGATGTCCGATTACTACTCCTTATGGAGCCATTTAATAACATGGACTTGTGTTTGATATGATATTACTTTCCATTACCACACTAGGGTTTTGATGTCAAGATTACCTCCCCTTATCAAGTTCTTGCATTGGTCACTTTAACATAACACAGTTGAAAGGGTGAAGGTGGCCCAGAATCCTTCCATGTTAAACAAATATACCAGCGCAAGTTGTTGGAACTGTTTTTTGAAAGCTCAAAATTAATTTCCTGTTAAACATTAGATAAAGAGCCAAAAAGAAAAGTCATGGCTGCACCTCGAAGTCTGCTTGTGTTGAATATTCCCCAATCCAGCCTCGGTTCCGATCTGTACCTGATTTGTTTTAGGTTCAATTAGTCCAAATATTTCAACTGCGTACATAGAAGCAACTGTAAACTAGTGGTTATAGGTAAAATAACAACCCATTATTGAGCCCTTACATGGATAAGTGTTTTTCAAACAATTATTGGGTTTTTAATTCAAAGCAGACCAGGTAAGGGAGATAACCCAGTGGTAAATGATACAGAGATGGCCATTAAAGGGAGGTAATATGGAGTTTAAACAGATATTAGGGCTGGGCTGCATAATCTGACATGCTGCTTAAGATATATTACATAAACAGGGAGACAATTAGTAATTCTGAATTTCAGTAATTTCATAAAAATCGTAATTCTTTAAACTTATTGCATTCAAAATTGACAACAGATACTGTGATTACTAGGAAGATGTCTGTTGATAATACAGCCAGGCTTTGTATGTCAGAGGCTGTCTAAGACACAACATTCCACTGCCTCAAGATGTAGCATTGTTTAAGGATTAAACAAAAGTTTTCAAAATAGGACCCAGATGTCTTTAATGGGCCTATAGATATCCGGTTGTCATGGTTACGCGATGCCTTTGCTGCTGTACCTTAAATACCTATGGTGTCAAATATATATGCTCAGTATATTGCCTCATGATATTGTGATCTGATTGTTTTTAGAGTTGTATTATGGATGCATGTATTCCTCACGTCATTATTCAGTGGAAAACGACACACAAGTATGTGTTGCATTGTTTTGCTGTATTCTTACCAATATTACTGGGTACAGAAGTTCTCATTCCATAAGAGATTGCTAAAATGATTGTAAATATTCTCATTTTAGTCAACCTCAGCAAGCTAAAATGAAAATTTATGAAATGTTTTGTTAATCTGGTTTAAATAGAAATGAACAATATAAGGTCCTTTTCATTATATTTTCAAATTTGCAAATATGGTAGAAAATATGCTTTGCTGTGTCAGTTTTGAAGTCAATATGGCTCTGTCTGTTGTTAATATATTGTTACATCATAATGTAAGCTTGAAATACTTTGATGTCCAATTAGGTCATATCATAGAAACGAAGCTTTGGTATATCCATGAACATGACAATTAAGGGATACACATTTAGGATAAATTCCCTACTATGTTGATTTTCACATCAAAACTAATCGAGTCTAACAGACTGTTTGGTGTATTGTATAACAAAATTCAACAAACAGATGATTTATTTTAAACGTACGAGACTGTATTGTGTCTATTCAACACTTATCCCAGGAAGCCAAGCATTACCTCTGAAGTAGAGGGATGGGCTTATTACCAGACATGCTCTTATGGTCAGATAAATATGGAGGTTTTTTCTTCAGTATCATGAATATTTTACTTGGAAGACAAATACAACTGTATGATATATATTGCATACACATATCCGTGTTCAGAATCATTTACCAATAATCAAATTCATATTTCAAGGTATTTTTTCATGATACATTTCGACAGAATGGAAAAGTGGTTTTTGTGAATGATTTGTGATGTATCAGAGAATGCTATATTTTTACATGAAGAATGTGAGGAGTTGATGAGAGAAAAATATTTTGTATAAAAAGTACCTGTTGATGAAGTTTTTACCATGAGAACAGGAAAGAATGAGGAATTTGGAGATGTATTTACCAAGGGGTATATCTCATAAGATGAAGAATAAAGCATGCCATTCACAACACACATCTTTTCTTCATCTTATATATTTCATAATGCATTGGTGCTATCATTAAATAACGGAACAGCATGGACACGCAGACTGTCAGAGATTGCCATGGGTAATAAGTTCACCTGTCTTTGAATGACAAGTGAGCATATGCTGTGGTGTGGTGTCCGTCATCCAGTCAATTATTACCCTTATTTTCAATGACTTCTTCTCAAGAACCAAAAAGCTTAGAATCATGATATTTGGCTTGAGGATTCTAGGATGAAACCAGATAAATTTTGAAAAAAAAAAAATAAAAATCCCATGCCCTATTCAAGGTGACAGAGATTAAATTGAATACCTTCAAGTGACTTCTTCTCAATAACCAAAAGACATAGAATCATGATATTTTTCTCAAAGGTTCTTAAGATAAAACTGGTGAATGAATGGAATAAAACTGACCTTGACCCATATTCAAGGTCACAGCTTTCAGCAACTTCTCAATAACTTAAAACCCTAGAATCACAATATTTGGCTGATAGGTTCCCATGATGATGCCCATATTCAAGGTCAAACGGGTCATTGTCTTCTCATTAATTAAAACTTTGAACTTGAATAATGTGAACTGTAAATGCATTTGTGAAAAGCAATATTCATGATTGCCTGGTGAGTGATGCAGACCTATGGGGCCTTTTGTATCACATTTTGATTGTCTTTCACTTACTTAGCATGTTGAACAAAAATATTACAAATAAATTCATTATACTTCTATAAGCAGACCTGGAACATATTTATCAAATAGTGGTCTACATTGCACTATAATGGAACTATTTTTGGTAAAGTATGATTTGATGATTGCATATTGAAAGTATAAGGAATGGCTTTGTCTTTACACTCCTTAGAGACTAGAATCATGTGATGTTTTCGCTGGCGTAATAAATTCCTGTCATTGTGTATCAAAACTCCGCAAATCTTTGATGATTACCAAAGAATGCTAGTTTCTAATTTGAGTTACATGTATTTTCATTAAAGCATGCAATCTCTTGACTTTGTTCAATACAGTTTTTAACATAACATTTTATCATTGTTTTGTTTTATTACAATCTGAAAGGTTATCTTATGGACTGAAAAATAGTATCCTGCAATTAAAGATACTCAGGCAACCTACATACAAAATGTAATTTCACAAACGTTTGAAGTGTTCTCATATCATGGAGACCATTCCATGCCTTTGTGTTAGATTTCTTTGGCCTTCCTTCAGTGATTATGAATTTGTGTTCCAAGACAATGAATTTAACCTTTTATGTGACCTTGGCCTGAAACACTCCCAAAATACAGTGTTCAGTTGGGACTATAAGAATTCGGTCGGCATGCAAGGGCCCTCATTAATATTTAACAGTAAAGACGCTGATGGAAAGATTGTTTAGGAAACCGAACGTAACGTTGCGCCCTATAACGGTACGTAGACAATAGAACCAAACAAGTCAAATATTTGTTATTTTACATTTTTTTGCCCCCGCCATTTATGGCCGGGGGCATATAGCGTTGCCCATGTCCGTCCCGTCCCGTCCCAAATCAGTATATACCACCTAACAACTTCATTCGGACCTTTCACTATTATTTCACATGGGGGGGCAGGGGCATTCATGTCTTACAGACATTTTCTAGTTTGATATAAATCAATACAATGAAGGATTATCTGTATATAATTCATTTGGAAACTTTATTAAATGGTTCACTGACAATCTTGATAAATTGCCGTTCGTTTTTGTTACATCCAAATGGTCAATGTAATGGTTACCATTTCATAAGATAGGGCGCAGCTTATATTCCAGTGCAGCATATATATGTGGACCAAATCGAAAAAAATCCAAAAAAAATGGCCCTGCTGCTTACAAGCTGGAAAATACAGTAATGACAAAAGCTCCGTATAACTATTGCTTTGCACATCTGAACACACAAACTGGTGGCTCTATGTTTCACTAAATTTTTCTGTTTTGGGAGTATAAAAGATATTACAACTTGTATTAAGTCATCAACCCCCAAGTTTCATGAATCTTCTTCAACTTAAAGAATTTCTTTAACTGAATTTACCCACAGGAAAGTACTACATAAGTTAAGAAATTTCCTTAACTGAAATTACTCATAGGAAAGTATCACATAAGTTAAGAAATTTCCTATAATTTGAATTTTTCTTTATCTTACATAATGCTTTTTCTATGGTAGTTCACATTACCTTAAGGAAGATTCCTGAAACTGGAGTCGGTATATACATGATATACATGTGGTGTGTATTGCTATCTCCTTATCACTGTTTGTAGCGTTAAGGTGGAGATCAACAAAATAACAATATAAGTTTTCAAATTTTATTTGAATGTTCCCATATCTATAAAACAACAGAGAAACCAACATGGCTGATCTCCATCTTTTATAAACATTATATATACATATGTACATACACAACAATATAACATAGAGGTTTCTCATTTGTCCCCCAATAACATAAGTACAGTTACATATGATTAAGCTGGAATTTTGTGTCAAATATTTATCCCACAGACAAGATTAGATATTCTGAGATGTCTAACATAGTCCCTCAAAGGGTTTATTTGCCAATACATACAAATAAAAAATTTAGGAAAGGCTTCCTATGCTAATACATACACCATCATACCAAAATTTCCAATCTCTTTTTCCATACATACACACATAATAATCTGTCTCTTGAGCAGCATACTTCACACAAAGGAGTCTGGTCTCTTGATTAACACATACGAAAATTGTACAAAAAATGGCCCATCTATTGCCAAACACATGCAAAAAAATGCCCCTCTCATTCCTAAATTACACATACACAAAAAGGTCCTATCCCTTGCCATACACATACAGGATCAGAATACTGCAAACATCATTCTTAACACACTTACAAGAATGGCCTCATCTCGTCAGGAAAAATATATCCACTAGTCATTTACACACAGAAGTGACAAGAGGATACCCTTCTCTGCATCCCTGTATCACAGAATTGTGCATATGCTTTCACCCTGATTTCTTGTTCATGCCTCCAAATCATCTCTTCAAATACACATTCAAACATCTAGAAACAACCTGAAATTTATAAATAAATTATAGATATAGCTTTCCTTGTATTCATATTTGAAAACGAAGATTTGAAATCAATTTTTTGTCTTCTAAATACACAACTTTCATCAACTAAAATGAAAATATACAATCACAAAAAGCACAGATTTATCAAAATACTACGGCCAAATAGAGCATATTTCAGCCATTGTTTGTGATACTTAATCCGTGATTAATTCACATTAAGAATTGGACTCCAGTGAAATAATGTCAGATCAACAAATAATTAATTCAGGATTTACGAAGATGTTTATCTTCAGTACCAACAGTGACCGAAAACCGCAGATTGCAAAAATTACAAAATTCACACACTGGTTCTGAAAAGAAAAATATTTTCTAAAATATGTTGATACCAAACAGATTAATCTCGCTCCAAATAACTCATTCAGGAAATTCATTCAATTAAAATTTAAGTTGTATTAATAAAGTATAACAATTTAATGTTGTAATGTATTTTTGATAAGAGATAGACATAGAGTATAAGAACTGAATATCATAATTTGTTTTCAATAAGAAATTGACAATGGATCACTCACATAAAGAAACATGCACAAGTATTGTTTAGAAATGATTAAGGTGAAACCAAGGCAACAAGACAACAAACATCTAGGATTGCCTCTTTCCTCTTACTTATACTTAGCTAAAAATGTACACAATGTATGGATATTTAAGGTAGTTACTGTGTTAATACACCTCATAAAACAATAAATATTGCATTAGCATCACAACGAGCTAATAAAATTCATTTTTAGACCCCTACATTGAAAACATGTGAGTATACCGGTATTGATTAGGGGACTGAAAAAGAATACTGTAATGATAAAAAACTACATCCCTGTGCTTTCTTATTCAGCAGATTAATATCATGTAGCACAGTAGAACGTTGATAATCCCAATCCAAGCAAAGACATACAATCTTATTTATACCAGTGTTAAAACTGGTATAAATGCAAACTATTTATCAATGGACATCAAATGTTATACAGGTGGTAGGCATAGTTTGTGCAGCGATCAAAAGAAAAAGAGGGTGGTCGGGTGGCGCAGTGGTAACGCACTCGCCTTTCACCTAGCCGACCGGGGTTTGATTCCCAGAAAGGACGTGAAAAGGTAAGGTGTCACCTGCCCGACCACGTGGGTTTTCCCCGGGTAATCCGGTTTCCTCCCACAATAAGACCCCTCACGCACTTACATCCGGGCCAACAAGAGTGATTAGTATAAGGTGACATAACTTGTTTCGCAATTGTTGTAAAATAAAGTTTATATTAGAAAAGAAAAATTAATATAAAGAACTACCAATAACAGTTTTAATGCTTGTATCTCAAAAAGGATGACTCAATATCTGTTTTACTTATTTGCAATAACATGTACTGTGTCATTGAAGCAAAATCCTTGTTACTTGAGTTTCCTTTAGTTCTCTTGCGTATACCTTCACACAATAAAATGTGCCAAAGTATGGATACATTCTTCTCCTAAATGATTTTTTAATGAAATCTTATCAAACAGAAAATTTGAACAGAAATATGAAAAAAAAAAATTTTCAAGAAGGGTTTTGCTAATATAAGGTTTACTGATCTCTAACATGTATCATGTAGCTCCTCTCGTTGTCTAAATACACATTTTAATCAAACGTTTTGTTAGAATACAAAACAAGACTGTTTTTACTCAATTTTGGGAAATAATTTCACCGTTTAAGCCCTATAGCATTGTTTTCATTCACAACAAGATTTTTATTTTTTGCTAACTTATTTCAATCTAACGACAAGTTAAACACCATGATTTGTTTGAGGAGTGCGATTCCATGGAACATCACAACTATGTTTAACTGAATCTAGTTCTGTAACCCATAAACCAAAAAAAATTCAAAATAGAAAATTAATATTAATTCAAATTTAGCATCACAACAAACAAAATGGATATTCAGTAACATTAACAAGGCCTCTGTACACTAGATATACCAAAACTTCAATTACAAACAAGCATATGGTAAAATAAATAAACATTGAAGCACTTTCAAACCAGAAGCAGAACTTAACAAGTGACTGTTGATTTATGGTAAAATTCCCATACACAGCTGTGGGTGTTTAAACTCTCATGATGTAATTCCCATACACAGCTCTGAGTGTTTAAACTCTCATGATGTAATTCCCATACACAGCTGTGGGTGATAAACTCTCATGATGTAATTCCCATACACAGCTGTGGGTGTTTAAACTCTCATGATGTAATTCCCATACACAGCTCTGAGTGTTTAAACTCTCATGATGTAATTCCCATACACAGCTGTGGGTGATAAACTCTCATGATGTAATTCCCATACACAGCTCTGAGTGTTTAAACTCTCATGATGTAATTCCCATACACAGCTCTGAGTGTTTAAACTCTCATGATGTAATTCCCATACACAGCTGTGGGTGTTTAAACTCTCATGATGTAATTCCCATACACAGCTCTGAGTGTTTAAACTCTCATGATGTAATTCCCATACACAGCTGTGAGTGTCGGGACTCTCATGGTGATGTAATTCATGTACACAGCTGTGGATGTTTGATCTGTCGAGGTAATGTAATTCTCGTACACAGCTTTTAGTGTGTGGATTTAACAAGTCACATGTAGAACTTACAATAACTATACAAAATGTGTATCCTTGTTGACACAAAACTGACAAGGGTAAGAAATTACTGAAATTCTTTCAGGCCTTAATGGTTGGAAGCAATGATACATGACAAAGCCAGTGGAGATCAGCTAACTATATGGGTGAAAAAAAGCCATAAAAACAGGTATATCAGTTTACATGCAAAATAAATTATTTTGGACATTATAATTCTTACAGCATTTAAAAAACAAACAAAAAAACAAAAAAAACAACAGCAAATCATAATCAGTGGTGGTATAAAAAAATGGGGGTATTTTTTATTATTACTTTTGCCAAGTATACCAGAGAATCACATGTAACCCGATTTCTACTGTCACAGTAAAATATTCAGTGTTGTCCCTATGGTCAGGCATAACACCTATTTCAGTATAAAACATAACACTTTTAAACAATTGCACAGCCAGATTTGAGTAGCACTTCCTCTCTCCCTCACATCCCATGGAAATCTTGTCTCCGTCATAACTTTAATCGTTTTATATCTTCACTTCTGAAATCAACCCTGTTGGGAAAAAAAAAACAAGAATAAACAAGAGTATCAGTGAAACTGATGAATGAGAAAACGACTTTACCGGACACAAATTTATAATAAAGGGCAATAATTTCGTAATTAAGGGGTTTGCAGCCCCTGAATTTGGTATACTGCATATTTTTTTGGTATGACCAATTATACACAAAGTTTTTTTATCCTGTGGCAAAGTTATGCTTCAGAGATGAAAGGAAATGGATGGACGGACGCCTGACCAGACGAATGGACAGGCAGGCTGGCGTCGGATGGCTGAGTGGGCAGGCAGGTGGGCAAACATGGTATATATATGTGCACATCCTCCCCCAGCACATTTACTGTACAACTGAATCGCCTAATTTTTAAAATTTTTTTATGCTTAACAAGTCTGGCAAAATTCTGGTGAAATGTTTGGTTGTCGTGGGGATTGAAATTTTGATAACAGCTAACCTACGTTTGTATGAAGAAAGCTTTGTTGGAAAAGTGTTTAATATTGCCTTAAGATTGCATAGATTTCTTTTTCAAGTTCCTTAACTTTATTTTGGAGAAAATAATATTGCCAATATAACCAATTGATCAATTGAGCTTAGGTTAATAAATGTTGGTATAATTTGAGTAATTCATTATGTAACAATAAACAGTTCTGATTACTTACCTAAGTGAGAGTACATGTCTGACCTCTGTGGGGGTGAGTCGCCATGTTAGTGGCCCAGAGTTTGGTCCCCAATAGTCCAGGATTTCTGTCACCTATTAGTGTGTACAGGAAAAATGACAGGATTTCACAATATAGTACTGAAATTGATTTAAGGGTTTGGAAAATCCTGTATTGTTTTCTCGCTTTCTTGAACGAATATCAATTGACAAGCAATAATCATAGCAATCATAATATCCACACAATTTTTAAAAATATGAAATTCTGATGTTCCTACAATATTAACATGCAATTTGAAATTGTTACTGTAATGTTTCAAATTTTTTTCTTATTTCAGAAAGAAACATCTGACTAGATTTCTTAGGACACCAGGTGTAAGACATTTGGACATTGACTTTACATACTCCGTTAATATCTAGTACTCACCTTCTCAAGGTTAAGGATCGTAGCCATCTGTGTGAGGCGGGCAAACTTGTCCCTAATGGTCCACGTGGTCACAGTGGTCAGATAGCCTACTAAGCTCCGTAATTCTTTGTCAAACTGTAGGCCTCCAAGCTTTCAACAAACAGAATCATTACTTTTATTTATTATCAACCTTAAATTGGTTTTTTACCATAAAAATAGTATTTCATTTACATAAATCTCGAACAAACTCATAGGAGTTTACCAAAAATAAACTTTTAAAAAGACAAGATAACATATATATCCTGTTATAAGTACAGAGGGGCCAGCACACAGTTCTTACACAAAATCAGGGAATATTTTATATTGAAGGACAGTAAAAAAGCAATGTTTTATATTTCTTTGGAATATACGTAGAAATGGGCTTATTACCTGACATGAGTTTAATATCAGATAAATAAAGTTAATCCCAAACTCAATTACATAAATCTCAGATTCACCAATTAAATTTCAGATTCAATTAAATCTCAGATTCAATTAAATCTCAAATTCAATTAAATCTCAGATTCAATTAACATAAGCCACATAAATATTGACTTGAATACTATTTTTTTCAGCAAAATGTGCTGACTAAAAACCTTTCTTTAGAGGACAGTGGAATAAAAGGAAAAAGGATTACCTTCTCTGCTGCATATCAACTTGAAGAAACCTACAGGAGTTACCTACCCTGTTGTAAGCCATCTTCAAGACTGCCTTCTCTAGTTGTGATGTCACCTCTGCTGTGATCATGCTGACAAATCGTTCATAATTTCCTGATGAGAGTGAACTCTACAAACAGAAATTAAGTAAATAACAAAATCACAAACTGTGTACAGGCTATGTGGTATGTGCATTCATACTTATAGGAGTAGGAACATCATAGATCATCACCATTTATAAAAAAATATTCAATCAATAACATGTGGAAGACTGGTGATATGAAAAGGTTTATGTGATATAGAAGATCAAGGTTCAATAAGTACTGAATAAATCTTAATTACAGAATCAAGTGTTTTATTACTTATGTTAGCTTTGTATAAATCTCGGCAGATCATATTTGGAGGCATGATTTTGCTGTAAATGTGTCAAAATTTTGGATTTTAACCTGCAGCTGAAAACTACCATAAGGACAAAATTTATCAACATTTTTCAACCCAGACTCATTTGCTGAATTTCATCTTTATTATTTCATTAAAAAAAGGAGCTAAAAGATACCTTAAATGTGCCAAGAGTATTGTCGATCTCCATGATGAAGTTCTGTACCCACGGGTCATTGGCCTCATAATTAGAAAACTCTTCCTAGAAACAAATCAATGAAAGATGCAGTTATATAAATTTGGATTAAAAACAAACCATGATGCGTTTATTTTGATTTCTATCTTAAGTCTATAAGAGCTATAAGAATCATTTTATTTTTACTCTTGAAAGTAAACATCATATCATTTTAATCATATGACTACTGTTAATTCACATATACAGTTAGTCGACAGGCATTATTGATTGGGATAATACTTAATGATATTTACTTCTGGGATGTCAGGCTTTTATTGATAATACTATGTCAAAGAGTATTTACTGTAAAAAATTCCCACATGATCAAATCTTTTATAATTCTCTAATCAAAACTGATCTTGAACAAATAAAATTAATGAAAAAAAAGTTTCATTATAACTGGTATTGTTACCATCAAATTTGTGATAACAAAACATGAGAGATCTGTACTGAAATATTCCTCCAAATTACCTCAGAGATCGTATGACTAGTGGACAGGAAGTTGTCCGTCAGCGGTTTGATGCGGGGTTTGATGGCACTGCTGTTGAGCTGTGAGAAACCGAAATCTACCACGTCTTTGTATCTGTTACCCACAGCTGCCAGGTCTGACAAACAACTCTGTAATATAAAAATGGTCTCATTACTATACCTATAACTTTAGTGTTCTATCATCATGATACTAACATTTACAGAGGGAGACCACAATTCAATACAGGGTTGTCTTTGTGATAGGAATTAGTTTTAGTCTACATACATCTAGCTGAGTTTATCTGTATATTTTCAAACTTAGATATCCTACATCAGTGACTCTCTAGTTGAGTCAACCCGTATCGGTTAATCTCCAGTCACTAAGGAAGTTGACCTATATCAGTGACTCTCTAGTTGAGTCAACTCTATCGGTTAATATTTCCAGTCACACAGGAAGTTGATATGTATCAGTGACTCTCTAGTTGAGTCAACCTGTATCGGTTAATCTCCAGTCACTAAGGAAGTTGACCTATATCAGTGAAACTCTAGTTGAGTCAACCTGTATCAGTTAATCTCCAGTCACACAGGAAGTTGATATGTATCAGTGACTCTATAGTTGAGTCAACCCGTATCGGTCAATCTCCAGTCACTAAGGAAGTTGACCTATATCAGTGAAACTCTAGTTGAGTCAACCTGTATTGGTTAAATCTCCAGTCACTAAGGAAGTTGACCTGTATCAGTGACTCTCTAGTTGAGTCAACCCTATTGGTTAATCTCCGGTCACTAAGGAAGTTGACCTGTATCAGTGACTCTCTAGTTGAGTCAACTTGTACCAATTAACCTCCAATTAAGAAGAAAGGTATCTCATATCAGTGGGTCTCAAGTTGACATCACCCACAACAACAAGTCTCCAGCCCAGTTAATCAGAATCTTAGAGATGCAAGCCATCTGATCAATCTTAACCAATAATTTTCTGAATCAATCACTATCTGAACACATCAGACAGACTGACGAATGGTGACTTACCTCTAACTTTGCCTTGCTTTGCTCTTCACATTGGTTAAATAACTTAGAAACTTCATCCTGTTTAAACAAAGAGATAAAATAAAATGATGTTTCACCATCATAAAACTCCTGTGATAATCATCACCTTTATTCTTTATCTGATGAATGTAAAACATCTACATGTATATCTATACAACAGGAGGTCCAGAAAGAAACAGTAATCAAAGTTATGGTACAAGATTACGTCTCTTCTAGCTTTTCTAATCAAATAAAAAATTTATATTATTTAATTCAATGGTGACAGAAATAATGTTTCCTTTGTACCCCTACTGGGTGGTAGCTCTATTGAACGTTTGTTTAAGTAAGATCAATGGATGTAAGAGGCTTTTTTCATGACTGACTTACATTTTTTCACAACAAATTTCTCAGTCTATGATGCCTGTAGTACTTACATTGAGGCTTGTTTTCAAAGCTTTACAATATTCACAAGTTGCTTCTGCATTGTTTAAACTAACCTGGAAAAGAAAAAGAGGAGAATTAAAATATATAGTGTTTACACTGTCATTCATTTCACCAGTTATATAGAATTGTCAGCGTTATCATAGTTATTAGTGATTTAGGATACAATTTATTGAAGATCAGTAGATATTTCAGCAGGGAATATAAAAGAGACCATGTGTACATTGATGTAAAGTAAAACAATTATTATGTGGTGATATATCCTCTTGCCTGTGATTACATGGTAATGAAACTTCATAATCATTTTTATGCCTGCATTCATATGAGGACTTCTGTGATGTAGACGACACTCTATCTGGTTTTTATTTTTGTTTTATTTTTATAGACAATTGTTTCAAAGGAAAAGTAATTGAAGCATTTAACAACAACAGAACGGATATTTTTTTATAATAAATAAGATAGATTTGTCACTTGTTTGATAGAACATCTACATTGGTACTTCATTCAAACCCTATTTCTCTGGAAGAACATTATGTTAAACAGAAGTCTTTAAAACATCCTAAAGAGCACTCTATATCATATGGAGTTTCAATATTTTGCTTAACTACGTTTCAAAATCACAATAAAATACCGGTATTTAAAATTTCAAAAAAAATAAAATCTTGAAGATTGTACAAAAGACACGCAAGTGAATCACACCTTTTTAATAGAGTTAGATACAGAAGACCCAAACAATGAATTAAACTAGTGAACAAATTCCAAATGTTCCAATAGTTTGGTTTGTTATCAAACACACCACTGTGTATCAATAATTGTGATGTCAGACATGACCACTCACTATAAATAAGGTTTTGGCCTGTTCTGTGTCCGACGTTTTGAGATTTCCTTTGATACTAGACTGGACCATGTTGTAGGCCTGGACGAGGTCGAACCCCAGAGGGAATCCTGACCGAAGTTTGGAGTATAGCACCTCACGAAAGTCCTGTTCCAATAGTGTACATGCATGATTCAACATGGCACACACACCATCCACACTTGAACTGGAAATGGCACGCCTATAAACAACAAAAATGATTAATTGGATGTTACACACATAAACAGGTGAGTATATTCAGAAACAATTTATCAAAGTTCAAACAGAGCCCTGATAAACATTTAATCTTTTATCATGGAACAGAATACTTAACATATGCGATATATAAGATAAATTTACTTACCTGACACATTTTTTAACAATGAAGAAGCTGTCGTCCACCATGCTGGAGGTCTGAGCTCCCTCGTCTACTGAATCTACAGACACGGCCTGTCAAGGGCAGGTAGCAAGGTTATATATGATAACTACACTACTAATTATCAGGTGACTAGAATTTAACTGACTTACATTTTACATCTTTTAATATTTTCAGAGATAAAAAATTAACCATGTGTTGCTTTGTTTCTCTTATTACAATTTTTTTAATTTTTAGAAAAACAAAAATGTGTTTCTGGTTTTTAAAATTTTTATACTATGTTCTTATATTTTGTATGGGTCTTGTTAATAATAGTGAATAAAGATGGATCCGAAATAAAATTATACATTGCAATTTAGTTACAAAAATATTGACACACATTATACAGGATACAGAGAAGATATTATAACAATATTATTACAGTATAAAGACATTTTTAAATGAAGGCTCACCTTGAGGACCATCTCTCTCATAAAGAACTCCTCCATCATGATGTAGTTACCGATAAGCTCCTGCATCAGACGACTTAAATCACAGTTTACAAGGAATGTAACGACATCAGATCCCTTAAAATCTGTTTATCAAAAATAACGAGGCATCACTAAAAATAGCAGTCTGAGGATCTTATCTTCTCAATATCTTTATAGCAGCAAAGTTACTGTCTCAATTTGGTTCCCGAAAACTTTTTTGTAGTGATCCAACATTTTGCTACCAGACATAACCTTTCTCAACTCCCTACGAAGTATACAGCTAGAGCTGCCATTAAACATGAACAGCTTGTACACAGTATTTCCACCACTGGCCCAAGCTGTCCAGCAATGACCAACCATGTCCAGCACTGATTGGTCAGTGCTGGACATGGTAGGTCAGTATTTTTTTCTCCTGGAACCAATCAAATTACTTCGCTTGTACCTTCAATTTTACCATGACATGATCCAGGGGGAAAGAGATTGTAACGCCTGGAGTATCAAGGATGATCCAAAGGTGAATACAAATTAAGCAAAAGAACAAGACAAACCTACCTGTTTGGCCTTGGGCTGCTGCTTCTATATCATTCTGAAAGCAAATCAAGAATATGTCACCTTCATCCCCGATTTAGCACGAGCATGATTACTCATGAAAGTCCAACAATGAAAATGGATCAGAGTTACCACAGACAATGACTAGTTTATACAGTTAGCAGCAAATTCTGGATTCAGTGAAAATTGAAAATTTCAGCCCTCTTACCATAGCACGTCGTTTAAAAAATCGTAAATAAAGCTCTGTTCTTGTGTTGAGTAGTACGACTTCTGCTAGTAGTATGTCTAAATCTTTAGCATCAAATCTGAAAACAAAACAGTAGCACAATGAAGGAAACTTTCAAACATGAGAAAAAACCGACAGGATGACAGTGAAATAACTAAATAAAGTATCACTACTGTCTGTTTAAATGTAAAAGTAATATTGAACATTAGGATAACATAATGAGAAAATAAAAGGATTCTCAACATCCAGGAGCACTTGTTGTTTATTTATGGACTAATTCGTTAACCTGTTTCTCTTGTTTTCTCTATAGGACAGTAGATAAATTTGAAAGCAACAGCATTATGTGTTGAAGGTTCACAACACCGTTTATAAATCATTTATTTCTTAGAATAAAATATTTGAACAAGTTGATATCTGTTACCAGGTTATTAGAGACAGCAGATTATCACTCACCGTAAATTTCTCGTAGTGAAAACTATTGTTGATATATTTGTATAATACTTGAATATGACACAAAAACATACATATCTTGCGTGGCATAGGTATTCTACAGTAAGTAAGGCCTAGGGTGTTAAGCTTTACCATAAGAAGTAAGACATAGGGTGTTAACATGTTCTAACTACAGGAAGCATTACAGTAACTGAGCATGGGTTAATCTCAAATTTCGGAAATACTACCCATTGTGGAAAAAGGGAAGATTTTGGCCTTTTATGAGATATGGAGAAATTTCGGACAGCCCTTTTGGTCAGAATTCAAAAGAGGGATAGGGTTAAGATTTATGATATACATGAATCGAAGATGACCTAAATAAAATGTAACAATATTGAGGTCAGATTGATATTTCTTTTCCATGATGCCATGATTTGAAAAATATTTAATGAAGATATACTAATTAGCTCTGTTTGGGGGAAAATTTTTCTATTTTGGGGAAATTTCCCAATATTTTCAGCTTATCACCTTGATAGGGAATTTATACAGAGGGAAAACTTACCAGTTGGGAAATACTACTCTTTTCCAGTACTAAAAGTCAAGTCTGTTTTATGATTGCCATTTATTTAAGTTATGTTATGTTATCATTACAACACACCATCATTACCACTACCAGCTAGAAATGAAAACTTGGAAAGAGTCACCAGTATCAGAGAGCAGTATCTAATTCAATATTCCATTTATGCTTAAGTCACCTTCAACCAAGTGTTATATTTCCACTAGTATTTATAAGGGTAAGTTAGATACAGATCACCAGAATGATGACATTCATCAGTGAGACAATGCCAAGAGATAGGACGAGTCACAAAGATGGAAAACTTGAACCAGCCAACCAAGCAAGTTTGATACACATCTCCAGAACACTGACATTCGTCACTAAAACAATGCCTAGAGATAGAACACAGGACTTGCTATTCTTACGCTTAACTGATTGTTCTCAAGAGAAGTTATTTATAACACAAGTAAATAAGAGGAAAAGTTAAACTGTGAACATCCTCTAAAGAATTTTCCTGGTACCTGGTATTATGGTCTTTACTATAGACTGTTATCAACTCTTCTAGATCTAAAAAAAATTATGTGGAATTCGATAGTTTAACAATGTATAATTTAGCCAGCACTTACTTGTCAGTGGAGTTTGGCTTGTGGAACACCATATTCTGTTGGACCTGTTGTGACTGGGAATAAAAGGTTCCGGTTCAGATTATGTTAACACAAAATATCAAATAAGCATCAACAATAACCAGTAAAACATCAAATCCAGCAAAGTTGTACAACAGGTATAATCAAATATCTTCCATATAAAATGTCTCTTTCTCCATTTTTTTCTATAAATGTTCTGAGTTTGGATATTTTTACAAATACTCTTTACGAACAGCAGTTCATAGCTCAATATTTTGTACTGACAGAAACAAAAACAAATTCCGACAAAGACCTTGTTTTAGCAGTCAAGATTTCTTCATGCTATTTCCAAATCAGACAAAAATAGTATATGACATGTATTTCAAATTTCCCATGTTGATTATTGATTGGTAAAGGTCATTGAGAAATCCAGCATGCATAAGAACACATATGTATACCAAATGCTCTCACAGATGTCCAGTGTAAATGATATAATACCCTGAATCAAGTCTTCAAATAAAAGATTAATCAAGCTGCCCTTCAGGAAAACACAACTTCATAGTTTTGATAAGATCACTTGAAAACTGTGAGAGGAGATCTAGGTAACAGTTTATAACAGATGGACAAAATAAATCCCATCAAAACTTTCTGTTTAGGAAAATCCGACGGAACTAACTTACCATGGAATCAAACATCCGTTTCCTTTTGAATTCCTGAATGATTTTTCTAGATTGTCGATCACATTCCTTCTGTAGGATTTTCAACAATGTGAATAATTTGCCGTGACCTGAAAAACAAAATATGGTTATATTAATAATAACACATGAATGAACACAACCAAACGATACCACTACATAAGTAAGATTAATTGACAAGGTTACATTTCTCAAATATTTATAGTTATACATAAACACAAACCATTATTATAAGGATGACCTACCATAGTAAGTTTCCACCAAGGGCTGTCGTATCTCCACAACACGGGCTATACTCTCAAACAATTGAGTAGCTGTATCAGCAAATACGCAGTTAGCTCCCTTGTTTTCTGACCCCAAGGCTTCCGCAATCTTAAGGTTTTTATCACTTGTATCGGAGAGCTGTAAATGGAGGTACAACAGTCAAGTTACAGGTTCCCTTATCATAAGTCAAATAAAACAAGAAAAATTCTGCAAGCAATACATAACCATACTCTTTCCATTTTCAAACAACACTGCTACCAAAGAAGAATGACAGGTCACATCTCTGTACTAAGCTTATCTTAGAACCCCAGTCAAAATCATAATACTTCACCATCTTAAGACTGACACATACAATGATTGGTAGTATGCTATGTGAACAAGGGGACGTAACTCTGCAGATACTTCAGAATACCACTGGATAAAGATATATATATATATAGATAAAACACTCAATAGCCATTACAGGTATCCAAATATACAATTTGGCAAATATAGGCAGCAGAGTGTGCAGATAATCTACAAATCACTAACATACATATAAACCTAGAGTCCTACTCTGCTGTTGGGGGCTGATTAATAAACTCTCCAATGAAAGTTGTGTTAATAAAATCAAATTTGTTCATTCTGTACTCAATAATTATTAGTTTGATAACATTTTAATAAATTCTAAATATAGGTACATCTTAGATATTTTCCTGAACTGTTCCTTTCTATTTACCTGTGAAGCCAAGTATTTTCCAAATTTGGTGAGTCCCTCTTCATGCTGACCAAGTAAAGGAAAGATTTTGAAAAAACGTTCTACAGAAGCCAAATCTCCTGCATGTACAGCTGCATCAAATTTACCAGACACAATTGTCTTCAGCTTTTCTTCTGCTTCATGTAAGAGCTTGAATGAGATTTCTAGTGTGCTTCCTGTGCGTTAGATAAAATAAAAACAAATACGTATTAATTATAAGACATCATGGACAAGTAAAAAATTATACTGCCTATAGCACTTAATAATATCCTTATGTAAAAGCAATATGTCTTTTACTGACTGAACAAACAAAACCATACCATGTTAAATTAAAAAAAAAAAAGGAAACAAAGAAAAAATTTCAACAAAGTCCACCCTGAGATTATCGTTGGTATTCCACAATGCTATGCACAACCATACACAGACAGGACCTTGGGTTAGGGATGATGCCGAGAAGCACAGTTTCTATATGATTATGTAAAGACTAATGTTGGTAGGTCAGAGCTTCATAATTTAAACACTAAAGAATTCATAGTATACAAGGATAATTAAGTCTATACCACCTTAAGTTAATCCCTAAACTTACCTTCATCAGCATCGGATGACATCCGTAAGATGTTTTCATCCAGACTTCGGAAACGGTGAACATGTCCTGCTGCCTGTAGAATGTAAACACAACACAGAGTTCAAAGATAGAAATATAGCTGTTGATATTTATGTTTAATTTAACTCTCTTATAATTAGTATTCATATCCAAATATACTGTGTTCAAAAGAATTCTTTTTTAAAAAAAAAACATTTTCTCTTTGAGAGAAAGTCAACCAAATGATGAATCTTTAATGATAGAAAATCAAAGACAATAACTGAACTTATTAAAAGATTAGGTTTTTTCCATAATTCAATTGTCAAAAAAAAAGTAATTACAGAAATTGTAACAATTCTGGCAATGTCGCTATTTCACTAGTAACGATTTTGTTAACATTACCTTCTCATAGTCCTCGTTCTGTAGAGCTGTCTGAACACCATCAGTACAAAACTTCAGATCAAGTATATCTTCTACTCGAGTTATAGCAGCAGTTACATTGCTCTGAAACCAACAGTTTTAACCCATTTTTGTCAAATTTTGTTGTACCTGTAATATCTTCTTAAAAGTGAAAAATAGGAAGATGAACAAAACCGTAACATTAAATATCTGTCTCATTTAATTGCCAATTGCTTGTCTGACAATTATCTTAATATAATAATAAAATTCATTCTACAACTTTGCTCATCACCAAAATCAAATATCACTGATAATGCTTGCTTTAGATAATGGTGATGAGAACTTTGCCAAGTAATCAACAATTAGGTATTGCTCACCTTTGCTAAATCGAGCTGCCTCACTTTGCTGCTGACATTTTCAGCCAAAGTTGATGTGAAGGAAACCATACTGGAAAGTTGTTTGGAATCCGTTTCTAATATTTGGATGTTTGGACTATAAACCAAAGAACAGATTTCATCACAGATTAACATTATTATAATACATTGTAAATAGATATACATGTCCTGTATACCACATTCGGTCTAAAAAGCAATGCCCAGTATATGCAGTTCTGATAACATGCCAGAAAAATCGAAGTAGGTTACATCTGGAGAGTCAGGAATCAAAGTTATTCTTATACTTATCCCTGTCCCAGCAATCAAAAGTTGGAAAGAATTTAGGAATACAAGTACATTTTTGTATACAACAGTAATTCCCATATTTCTCAGCACCCTAGTAGCTTCATTCTTTAGGGGATTTTAATCAAACTCCAAACACTTATGAAAGACCATAGTATCTTTGAAGAGTTTGAGGTATAGAGCTAAAGTCAAACCCATAATTACTAGTTTTAGAACATCTTTTTCGGCACTCTAGTGACATCATTCCTTGAACAATTTTAAACTTATTCAGGACCATAATATATTTGGCAAGCTTGAGGTTCAGAATTGTAAAGGTGAAAATCACAATTTTTATTTCTAGAATTTATTTATTTATGCATTGGGCTTAACTATTACAGCCTTTCAGCAGACTAGATTTCTAATAAACCCTTATCAGTACTCTAGAGGCTTCATTCTATGAGAGATCTTGATGAAACTTTGTGTCCTTAACCATATTTTCTCACACCTCAGTCCAAGTTGACTATCAAGGGGATTTATATCATTAACATGTTGAAAAAGATAAGGTTAACAAATCAAAAGTGACATTATGTCTTCAATTACCATTTCTAGAACATTGCATAGAAAACTTCAAAGACAACGCAAAGAAACACATCATTTTTAGACAATCACCAACCATTGATTTTTATGACATTTAGTCCGTGCTGTAAGCTTTCAGAACAACACTTTCAATCTAATATTTTTAATGTCACTTACAGAAAGAATAAAATTCAAAAATAAAATTGTTGACATTTTTGTCTAACCATTGGAGAGATTGAACAGCAACATGCATCATTTTACACTTAATGACTAACATCACAATTACAATGTTAACATATAATTGTACTAATATCACAAGAAGTTATTATGATTGAGTGTAATACCACTGACAGCTTCACCCAATGAGGCAAGCCAAAATAGTGAAATTATAATTATGAATAAAGATTTGAATACATACACTATCCTTTGTAGTCCACTCATCTTGTTTTCAAGTGATGCCTGGTGTTCTAGTAATCCATCTAAATGTAAGTTAATTTCATCCTGAAAATAAAAATAAGTAATAATAAATGTAACTTGTTGTTCCAGTTATGTCCCAACGTTGGCCACAACTCTGCTTTCATATGTTTTAGTTAGTTTAGTTAGGGTGTTTTAGCCTTGGAAGTAAGGCACACCCACAAAACTAAAATGTACCTGTGGTAGGAATGCCCGCACAATCAAGAAACAAACCAGAAACTTGCAATAACTTAAAGTAAACGTAATTGATTCTTGACAAAACTAAATGGTATATCCACTTTGTTGACATTCATCTTATATCTGTACAACATGCTTGATTATATGTTAGTTCTGCTAACATACACTGATTTTACTCGTATTCCAGTAAATGAATGCAAGCAAGTACATTCTATCAGATAATATTTTTGCAACAGACTTAGATATCAAGCAAACTTTCTGTCTGTGTGAATTTTTCTTTTGTTCACATATTTTAATCCCCATTTACATCATTCTGTTGTAAGACAAGAGTTGATTTCATGTGGTTATTTTAAGTAAGCTACCTATACATTTCATTTGGGTATTGCGACTGACAAAAATTTAGTATATCTCCAGGATATTGTCAACACTGTCAACTCCTTTCAATGATTTATTTAGAAAGATTTTGCAGCTGGTAGTATAGACATAATTAGTTATTCTGTTAACAGTTGACGTGTATAACAATCGGTAATGACCTAACATCCAAGTCAACAGTGAAACAAGCCAGAAAAGGTTGATCTGTAAAATACATCCTTTCTAATACAGTATTGCTGTTGAAAAAAAAAACGGTCAGCCATCACAGAAAATACCCAGACAGTTAGCAAGTTTTCTGGGCGGTAAATGGCCTCAGTAGAATACTAAAACCAAGACAGGTATAAAGGCCTAGCTACCATTGTACTGTTTTGAAAACAGAACAGAAATTACATGTGTCCAACTTCATGTGAAATAGGAATCATTTGACATATCTGTAAAGAAGCCAGATAAATAAAAAAAAAATCATTGTCACCAGAAGTAGATATAAAGCCTAGGCAGTAATTATTGTAGGTTTTTTTTCTGGGGAATCCAATCCATTTTAATAAGTCCACCTACAATAATATATAACAAGGTCTCAAAATCTGAGTGAGTCACAAAGAAAAACCAAATGTCTAGGACTCAAATATTTTGGACCAAAGAAATACTGCTAGGTGCATTTTGTGTTTAAGTTTCTAGAGATCCCAAATAGTTCAGTCAATGTGCAATATGAATATTTGAGGGTTGTGATTGATCAGACAGCTTGTACTTCTTTTCTTTAGTAATTGACAGGCTATCCTGCAGCTATGTCTGGTATTATGGTTGCATCCTTGAACAAGACACTAAACACCACAAATGTGCTGGACAGTGTGTAATGAGCTTCTCGTGTGATGTTCAGTGAGGATGCTGACATTTTTTGTTAGCAATACAATTTCATCGATATTTAAATTGCTTTTGTATAGGGTGCCTTCAGTCTGCTGATACATGAAAGGATGCCTAGGAGTTGGAGACAATCTATCCCTCAGCTGACAGAACATGCTTGTTTAGGTCAATTGGTACAGCTGATGGACTATCACAGCAGAGGTTCGAGTCCTTGTCGGGGCACTCAAAAAGAATGTGTATTTTCCCTGTTCTATCACACTGGCATCCAACAAAACCCCATGGGTTGTGGTAATTGGAGTCTCGGATTGCGCTTTAGGAAACCTCAGGAAAAAATACAGGGAGTAGTATGAAAGGATCGGGTCAGTGTGGATGTATATAGTGTTAAATACGGTCTCTGTAGCATAGGTGACGGGGCATGCTTATTTGCTTAGTTGGTAGAGCCGGTCGATTATCACACGGAGAACGTGGTTCGATTCCTGGTCGGGACACTCGACAGGAAAGTGTTTTTCCTTGTTCTTTCACACCATTTATTTGTTTTGCGATGAACACGAATACATCTAAAATGTCCCGAATTCAGTTACCTGGAAGTGTTGAGATCAAGCCATGTTTGATAAGGTAACTTGCATTTACTCAATTCGATCTCGAAATCAGCGAAAACAAATGTAAACAGAAAATGTCAGAAAAATGGAAGTTGCAACAGTTGCCGGTTTACAAAATTTATGCATTCAGCAACAACTTAAATGACAAATTCAAAACAACTCCAGATATATATACCTCGTCTGAGCATAGCCGTTCGAAAGCATTCTTAATTTCATCAATATCTGTCAAATTTTCCATGGTTTCTAACGCCGAGACAGACGTGGCATCTCCTCTGGACGCCGCCATCTTGGCATCCGCAATGGTTTGTGGGAAATTTTACTAATTCACTTCCTGTTCCGCCATAACTGCAATGGACAACCGGTAAAAACCTTTATATAAATCTGGTAACATCAGTGCATGTTCAACTTAATTAATTTATTTTGATCTTGTTTTACACATATCACATATTTTCACACTTAATTAAGCAAGTGACACTCGCATATTACAGAAACATTTTGATTAAACTCGACGCCGACTGCGTTACTCTTGCTTTGTTCATGTGGCGTCGGTCTTCAGAAAATGTAAACAACGTATAGTTTACGTCGATTCCGCCTTTTTTTATTTTTACACCAAGTAACACTTTGAACAATGCAATTAAAGAAAGTATATTAGAAACACATGTCTCGTACTCTTTACATGACGTTTTATAGTTTTAACCAAGCATTTCTGTCTTTCTGGCCTCTGCTCATTTTTGCAACCCCTCCCTCTCTCTCTCTCTCTCTCTCTCTCAAACTAACAGATATGCCGAATTATTGCGTCCTCATATATCATCTATCTGGAAGTAACTTAACCGCCCCCTTCTTACGATTAACATAATAGGAAAAATTGCGATTGCAATCAAACATAATTTTGTATCTGTTGAGCAGGTAGACCAAGATGTATTTGTACAACTTAACCCTGCAGAGATCCACAGGGATCTCTTCAGCGATCCATGGCAACTTCTCAGGCTCGAAGTTGCAAGAGGTGGTCGTGTCGAGGGGAAAGATGTTGGAGCTTTTGCGTCATGATCCCAACACGGGGAAGATCTACCCCATCCTCTCTGTGGAGGTGTTTGGCATGATACGATCACTAATGCCATTCAGACTTACAGGTGGAAACAAAGGTAATATTTTGATCCATACTTGGACATAACATGTCCTAGCTTCAGTTATGTGGTTTGCATTGTCAGGACAGTGATTCCTATCAATATTATGGCATAGAAATTTATACTTGCAGAATAAAGTGATACAATGGTTTAATTCCAGTGGAATAATCAATTTCATATCTAGAGTTAATAGATGCAGATAGAGAGCAGGAAACATTTGAACAAGTGCTTTGGTAATGAAGAGGAAATATACTTTCCTATTTATAAACAAAACACTCATTTTCACATATTGATAACAAAATGATTATGGTATTCAATGCAACTGATTTGGAAACAATTGTATCAACCTGCAAAGTGTCCAAACCTTGTTTTGTTAACAAAATTAAAAGCAAAAACAGATGAATAATAATTAATTACTGCCACCATCCTTGTCTGATTTCTTTATGAATACAAAACAGAATTCAAATTAGAAGTTTGTCAATGAAGTACTATTAAATTCAATTTTCAAACACTACAAAGTAATTAATCATGCTGCTGTAAGTAAATGAATTCTCCAAGATTCGCACAATTATACTTTCTACAGGTAAAAAATTTCAGAAATGGCTTAGAAAAAATGAATTCATCACATAATATATTTCACATATTATTTGAAAGATTTGAGAAACTGTCACTGATACAGTCACATTAAGAAAACGCACTGTAATATTGTTGATGGTATGTTTTTTTTTCATTTCAGATTATATTGTTGTTGGTTCAGACTCGGGAAGAATTGTTATATTGGAATACATCCCCCAAAAGAATATGTTTGAAAAGGTATTAATTCCACTTGATCATCTGTAATTCAAGATGTTCATATTTTTTCAGTGCTTCTTTTAATTTAGACACAGTGGTGGTCTGTTTTGTTTTATGATTAAAACATTTAGCAAACTTATTTTGCAGGTTCATCAGGAAACATTTGGAAAGAGTGGTTGTCGGAGAATTGTGCCTGGCCAGTATATGGCAGTAGATCCTAAAGGCAGGGCTGTCATGATAGGTATGTTTCATTAGTTTTACTGTGTTGCAAAGGTCAAGTTCATGTTATTGTCGGAGCTTGAAAATTTATCACCCGTTGATAAACTATACAATACTATCAGAGGTTGTGTAATTTCAAGGTAGCAAACAAAATACCAGCCAAATCTGCAGAAGACTGTGATGAAAGTTTTTACAGATTTTATACAATTTTTGTGAAAGTTTACCGATAAATATTAACATTTATTTTATCACTTTTAGATAAGTAGAGTTGTGAAGTTTGTCATTTAAAATATGGGTTTTGTAAATTGTAATAATATTTAATATATGTACGGCCCTGTTATATCAAGTTACGAGATAAGTGCAAAAGTTATTGACAGATTACACTTAAATTTAACAGGAGCAGTAGAGAAACAGAAGCTTGTGTACATCTTGAACAGAGATGCCCAGGCACGTCTAACCATATCCTCTCCCCTAGAGGCACACAAAGCCAACACACTAGTCTACCACATGGTAGGAGTGGATGTAGGCTTTGAAAACCCTACATTTGCCTGTCTTGAAATTGACTACGAGGTAAGATTTTAAAAGCATTTGATCACTTTTAGTTCTGGTTTGATAAACATTTGTTTTTCTTTTGTAACTATATTGTAAATCACAACTGTTTAATATAACAAGAACTTATCACTTGGCATATTTTTCATCCTCACATGAAACTTCATTTCCATGTATTGTTGAATCCTTTGTAACAGTAAAGTCCAACTTTAAACCACCGTTTATTTTCACCAGTTTTGGCTAAGGATGGAAGTTTGGCATCATGTCAAACTAGAAAATTTTTAAGAAAATATTTTCAAAAATGTTAAGAATTGAACAAATTTTCTTAATTTTCTGTCAAAATTAATAAGTTATGATATACTAAATATTACATGTATGCTTCAGGATGCCGACACAGACCCTACTGGAGAGGCAGGACAACAGACCCAGCAGTGGCTTACCTACTACGAGCTTGACCTTGGACTCAATCATGTTGTCCGTAAATACTCTGAACATTTGGAAGAGCATGCCAACTTCCTCGTGTCTGGTAATTAGTTTATTGTCTTGTTCTTCTTCTTTGGAATTCAAAATAAATTGAATGGTAGTGAATTCTCCAATTAACAATTGTGACCTTTCATCGCAGACGAGTTGGTAGTGAATTCTCCTCTGAAAGATTGAGATTTTTCATCACAAGCCAGATTTTTCATCACTGTACTAAGTGGTAATGAATTCTCTGAACGATTACAATTATGTTGTTTCATTACAGTGCCGGGTGGTAGTGATGGTCCTAGTGGTGTACTTATCTGTTCCGAGAATTACATCACCTACAAAAATTTGGGTGACCAACCAGATATCAGATGTCCCATTCCTCGGAGAAGGGTGAGTACTGCTATTCTTAGCAATGTTTAAATGAAGTAGTCAGTGTTCTGGTGTGAATTTCTGCTGGTTAAGATAAACTGAAATACAGGTAATGATGAGGCTAGAAAACAATTTTGCATCGGTAGTCCATATTGAATCAGTTCATTTTCAACATGGCCAAGTTTTTGTTTGTGTATTGTTGATGTTCTTGAAACAGCCAAGGCCACATGAAGATGACCAAGAATCTAAGCAAAATTTTGTTAATATATCAGTTTTAGTGAGAATTTGATTCAAAAAGGTTTCTAGTCACAAATGCCCTAAGGTTAGACAAGTTTTGTAGAGTCATTGTATTTTGATGGAGGTTGGTAAGACAAGTTGAAAGACTCTAAAAGTACAAAAAGAGTGAATTAACATACTAATTTTGGAGAAAAAATTATTATCTTTTTGACCTCATAGAAGCAAAGCGTTATATGTAAATGGCATAGATATTATCATTTTCATGAGATTTGTTTTTGGAAATGGTCCAGCATGTATTTGCCACCATGTATATAGATCTTTCTTTATCTTTCAGAATGATTTAGATGATCCAGAGAGGGGCATGATATTTGTCTGCAGTGCCACTCACAAAACAAAGGTAAGGCATATGTATTTATTTCCCATCATCTAGAAAAGAGTTTACATACATGTGGAAAATCAAAATTCAAAAACATCTTACTTTAAGGTTTAATTTGTATACAATTACTGATTACTTTCACCAATGTTTGATCTAGTCAGCATCAGTAGACAAACATGCTTATTATCATGGCAGATATCTAAACACTCGAAACATCACATCAAACCAAGCCTACTCATAATAAAGTTGCTTTAAGACGCACATTAAATTTATGGTATCAAATAACAATGTTATTTACAAAGTTATCCTTTATAATATTTAAATTTCTTTTATTTTAAATTTCCAGTCCATGTTTTTCTTCCTGGCACAAACAGAACAAGGAGATATATTTAAAATCACATTGGAGGTTGATGACGAAATGGTATGTATGAGATGGTATAATTCAAGATGTTTGTAAATTAATATTTAAAATGATGTTTAATTCAAAATCAATTTCTATGGAGTAACAGTTCATTATCATTACAGTAATGATTGTTGTGTTCGTTCTGCAGGTAGTGGAGATTCACCTCAAGTATTTTGACACAGTACCAGTATCAGCCAGTATGTGTGTTCTCAAGTCCGGTTTTCTGTTTGTTGCCTCAGAATTTGGTAACCAGTAAGTCAACATATTAAGTTCTCACTTGTAAGCTATATAGATGTGTATAGATATGTTAGAAACCATGGTTAAATTGATCATTGATGATACATGTAGGAATGTGTAAAAGAAATGAGAAGAAAAAAAAAGAATGACATATCTCTTACACATGAAAACTATGATTCCTTAATAATGACACAGATAGTTTGTGTTATTTATGTGTTTGCAATATTTGGCATTTCACCCATCAACCGTTCAGCTACTGTTAATTATTTAGAATGTGTCCTTTTCTTGCAGCCATTTATATCAGATTGCTCAGCTGGGAGATGATGATGATGAGCCTCGCTTCAGTAGTAACCAGCCTTTAGAGGAAGGGGAGACATTCTTTTTCTCACCACGACCACTCAAAAATCTTGTCATGGTGGATGAAATGGACAGCTTGTCTCCAATCACCTCCTGTCAGGTAATATAGTTGAATTATATCTGAATTGTATGTAGATAGAAAGTGAAAGATGAATTAATAGTGGTATGAGGTATTTCATTAATATTTCATCTATGTTGATATTTATAAGGAACATTTCAATCTAATCCAAATGAAAATACAGTTTTTGTCATTTCCTTTTTCATACAGATTGCTGACTTGGCTAATGAAGATACACCTCAGCTGTACACACTGTGTGGACGTGGTTCACGTTCTACCCTGAGAGTATTACGGCATGGACTCGAGGTAATTTCAATCTCCTGAATGGCGCAAAAACACTTCGTTCAGACTATGCAAAATGTGACCTAATAGAAAATAAGCTTTAGTTTTGAATTTTAATTGTAAAGTAGACATTTCTTGAACCATTGAAGTCTGTTTGAGCATTTCTTTTATTAAACAAATTTTGTAGTTGTTTAAAAAGCGTCGTCACAATTTAAGTTTGAAATGATATTATTATAGAGATGAAACACAAATTCTTAATTAAAAAATGTTGAAATATTAAGTAATAATTATTTACTAAGATGTGAACTTGACTTTTTGCATTATTGTTCCTAAATTCTATAGGAATAGCCATTGTATTTGTATATCTTTAAATTTAGGTGTCTGAGATGGCTGTGTCAGAGTTGCCCGGTAACCCGAATGCTGTCTGGACGGTCAAGAAAAATATTGAGGGTAAACAGGCTTACATTATGCTTGAAATTTTGTTAATTTAAGTTATGGAGTGTCAGATTTACATTTGTGGGTCCCTGGAATTGGCTTCCATAAGCTGATGATAGTTTCCTGTCTAAATATTGATACTATATACCCCTGTCTTCATACCCTTCTCTGCCATGGCCGAATTTCTATTCGAGGGGTTTCTTGATAAAACAAAGGGCAACAACCTGGTATAGCTTTGATAAAGTACTGATGTTCTAAACAGCAAAATGAATGTTTCTCTGATCTTGTATCGTCTCCCAAGATTGATTTCCTTTTTTTGTTACTTAATCATTTTGTTGGGTATTACAACTTGTGCAAGTACAGAAAGTTCCTTGGAACGTCTTTATGATGCAAAGTTGAGTACTCCTCAGTTGAAAAAACTGAAGTTCAATCTTCTCTTACAGAGAAATTGTTCAAACAACTTTTAATTTCAGAGATAAAACCATTTTTGAAAGTAAATAAAACATTTCTGGTCAATTTGAAGACAGTTTTTTCAGATTTGATTAAAGACTCCTAAGTGTTCTTTAAAATTACCATTTCTGGAATTTAAATAAAAGTCTTTCAAAAGTCATAGAACCAAGACTGATGCTTGTTTTCTGTGGTGTTTTTAGCATTTCACAATTTTTGAAGAAACAGGATTACACAAGTAAAGATGAATTGTTTGAGTAGCCATCTGCAGTTTTGGTCTAGATTATAAAGAACATGGATGATAAAAAGTTTGGCAGTTGCTAGTATACTGCTGTAATATAATATTTGGGTATAGACAATAATATATAGGTTCAGCATCTAAGGACAGGGACTGGGGTGTTAGGGGCCCACAGTATTAGGTTATCAGACACACAATAATAAAGGCTGGTGTGAGGACCCCTCCTACACCATGCCTACTTTCTAATTTCAGGTGTGTGATGGCTGAGAGCAGACACAGACAAGAGGTGGGTAGATGATCTTGAACAAAGGGTTATGATCTGCCATACAAAGTCTAATATGGGGCTTCTTGGACTGTCAAACACTAAAAGAAAACAAAATGCATTGGAACATTTCCTTTCTCAAGAAATGATCTATTTGGCAGAGAATTTTTTAGATAGCTCACAATATTATTAGCTGGTGACTAAAAGTCTCCTATCAGTCAGTATGTTGTATTTGGAATGAAACTTATACCTAGTAAAGATAGTTGACTCCTTACTTATACTTTTGTTAAAAAGCATGCAAACAAAAAATGTGTACACCTTGCTACAGGTACAGTCCATATTTACGTCATAATTTTGGAAAATGATACCTCTGTCGTCATTGATAACGAAGTTCTCTCCCAAAAAAAATATGTAAAATTTTGTGTACGAGGAACATTTTTAAATACCCCATAAGAAACTGACATTGTATTTACATCAAAGTGTGATAGCGTCTAGATTTGAATACTCCTGAAAGTCATTGCTTGGGACTTAATTATTGAGTTACTACCACTCACGGTTTTCAACCTCTGCTATTGAGCATTATAATTTTATGAGGTTCAGTAGTCAGGTAATTCAGCAAGATGAAGAATAACACAGCATTGTTAGGAAGGAAACTTAACATCAACATGAAAAGATTTTATTCATATCTGACATAATTGTGATAAATTTGCTAATATTTAGAGTACAATGTCTCACACCTTCTGGACAGGATAATGCTTTATAGCCGATATTTTAACAATTGCCAATTGTATGGATATAGGTGGGTCAGCTGTGTCCTTCTCAATGTCTGCAATGTCATGTGGAAATCTGCTTTCAGAAGTTAATTCTTGACAAATTTTTATGCAGTCTTTTTTCATTATTTTTCAATCAAAAATTGGTCTTGTATATGTCTTATAAGGTATTATTTCTAATTATGTACAGCTTTTTTACACTTTTGAAATAAATCTTTAAATGTTTTCAAAAACTGAAAAATGTTTACAATTTAGCCAAACTATCATGGCCAGGACTTCTACTTTGTCTTTACAGACGAGTTTGATGCCTACATCATTGTGTCCTTCGTCAATGCCACACTGGTCCTGTCTATCGGAGAAACTGTAGAGGAAGTGACAGACTCTGGTTTCCTTGGTACTACTCCCACCATTTCCTGTTCACAGCTTGGAGACGATGCATTAGTACAGGTCTGTAAATTGAAATCTTTAGGTTTGGTGAGAGAGTACCATTGAACTCTATCGCACTTAAAAATCGGTTGAGAAATCATTAAGAATATGGAGTGACTTCCTGTTTTCCTTGATCTCTGATGTTGTATCCAGTATGTAATGATAATGTGGTATTACAATTGATGCCCTGTAAACTTGTTCAGTTTCATTTGTTTTACAGATTTATCCAGATGGTATCCGTCATATCCGTTCAGATAAGCGTGTTAACGAATGGAAAACACCAGGAAAGAAAAACATTGTAAAGTGTGCTGTTAACCAGAGACAGGTTGTCATCGCTCTCACTGGTGGAGAGTTGGTATACTTTGAAATGGACCCTGTAAGTTTTTGTGACCATGCCATTATATACAGTTTTTATAGTACCAACATTTTAGGAGCATAAAGTGGTGTCAATGTCTGTCTGTTCGTTCTTAAGTCTGTAGCATCACATGTCATTCAGATTCTATATCTTGAGAACCTATCTACAAATTTGGTTCATATTTTACCCCACACATTCCAACACAGTTTCACTCCTTATAATGGGGTGGTCATTTGTCAAGGTTTAAAGGTCTACAGTCACATTGGATAACTTTCATCAGTGATTCTAATATGCATATTAGCGGGAATATGCATGTCTTGCTAGTTTTTAAATTGATGTAAGTGTAGTTTGCACTCTCAGACTATTTAGTAGTATGAAATGACATAAAAATTTAACAAACTTGCTACATGCCATGTTAAATTCTTTAAAATCTTTTAAAAAATCTTATAAATAAAAAGTTTGCAGATTATAGAGAAGAAATGCATCTAGACCAGAAGTATTTTAACAAGATGGTCATTCTAGCACTGCATGAACATGATGTTATTTATCTATCCGTGTTTCACCTGAACTACGCTGATTATCCTTAGATTCTGATTCATGCAGTACCGATCATGTGTTCTGATAATATCTGTCTAGATTCATTCAGTAGTGTGTGGAAATTAACAATTTGTATCTTCTCCCCTCTTTGCAGACGGGTCAGCTCAACGAGTACACAGAAAGAAAGGACATGTCTTCAGATGTGGTGTGTATGGCATTGGGGCGTGTGCCAGTTGGAGAACAGCGCTGCCGATTTTTGGCTGTTGGATTAGCAGATAACACTGTTCGAGTGGTGTCCCTAGATCCTACAGTAAGTCTCGAGTTTGAAATAAGAAACAGATCCTGTGTATGTTGGTGCAAAATCAAAAACTTTTTTCTCGTGTATGTTAATGATATGAATTCAGTGGTGAACTATCAAGGTCAATACTGACAGTCTCAAAATTAAGATTTTTAATATGTTAATAAGATTAAAAAGGTAAAAGCAGTGAAAATATTAATCAATGCTAATGCAGTGAATTATTGTTCTAGTTAACAATATTTAAAACAGGTCTATCATCTACTATGGCCCTATTAGATTGGATTCAGTGTTGCCTGTGTCAATTTATTAGTTTCAAACGTAGTGTGCTGATAACTAATATAGTCAGATTCATTTATAGGTGTACTGTTGAATACAATGATCAAAAAAAGGAAACCGGGTTATAAATTTATTGAACACGCTTGAATTTGTAAATGATTGGAAATTTTTGACTTGAGCACTGCTTTTAATGATATGTGGTATTGTGTTTGCAGGATTGCCTGTCCCCACTCAGTATGCAGGCCATGCCAGAACCACCTGAGTCACTGTGTATTGTAGAGATGGGAGGCACAGAGGCCAAGGAGGAAACAGGGGAAACTGGCTCTGTTGGGGGTCTCTTTCTCAACATTGGTCTACAGGTATGGATAATCTCTCTAGATTAAATGAAGATTAACAGATTTCTGTTCTGCTTTATCTGACCTAAAATACTTACTGGCAATGTTCAGGATATTAAAACCTTTTTACCAGCTACTTTGTATAGACTGCATGGAAATGATGTTATTTATCTATCCGTGTTTCACCTGAATCACATTGATTACATCTAGATTCTGATTCATGCAGTCATTACTATATATAGGGAAATATTTATCTACTTTTATGAAAATAATTGTCTTTGCCTTGTATTTAATTTGCCCTTAAAGCACAATAACACCTGTTGTCGCTTTCACTTCCATTATAAGCCACTGTTTTTAATTTTGGTTTTATTGATAAAGTAGTTAAATGTGTGAAAGTTAAATTGAGGGGAAAGTTCCCTGGTACTTTAAAGTTAGATATGTACACTAATATTTGATACATGGATTTCACAGATTGTTCTGTCAGTGTTTTCATTAAAATGATTTCTGCCTTCTTCCAGAATGGTGTGTTACTGCGGACTGTGTTAGACACAGTGACAGGTGATCTGTCCGACACCAGGACAAGATATCTAGGTCTGAGACCAGTCAAGCTCTTTAGGATAAGCATGCAGGGATCTGAGGCTGTAAGTAACAGTTCATTTTAAATTTGTTAGTATAGGGTAAGAATTGTATCATGTGCTGTTCATGCAAATCATTAATTATAGGTTTCAACTTTTTTTTTCTTATAATAGTTGTGATTGTGGTTAAAAACTTCTTTCAAAAGAATTCAAGTTTTCATTGGACTTTTAGACAGAATAAAGATACTTTGTAAAGTCTGCATGAAGATGATGTTATTTATCTATCCGTGTTTCACCTGAATCACATTGATTACATATAGATTCTGATTCATGCAGAAACACAGTATCAGGAATAATCTTCTTATACTGAAAGACTGCTCGAGATACGGGGGGCAAGTGAATTTAGTATTGTTGGTCGCTCAATATGAAAACTTGAAAATTGATATGAACTGATGGCGATCCTAAAAAATAGAAATTATGTGGTGTGGGTCAAACCATTTGATTTCACATTGCTTTCATTGACAGATTTTATATTAAATTCATTGAGCGAAGTCAGATTAAATGTGATTGTGCTGGTCAAACATTTCACATGTTGATATAACTTATTGATGAATTAAAGTGTTATATTAAAAAAAGAAGAAAAAAATAAGTCTTTTCTAATCATAATTCCTAGGTTGAAACTTGACACTGTGACCAGTCACTTTCACCACAAGATTGGATTAGTGAATTTTCAGTTTAACCATTGAAAATGTCTTAATGAAACTTGTAATTGAATTTAATTTTATGACATGTGACTTTAAAGACGGTGGATGTGCAGGTGAACTGTCAATTGTTGTGCAATTACTGTTTGGTATATTTTAGCTGAAGACTCATTTATTTGTACCAGTTGTGATAAAGACTGAGAGTGCCATGTTTATGATGATACAGTTTTCTCCACTTCATATGAATGAGATGATTATTAAACTTTCTGAACATTATGGCATCACATTTATCACACTCTGGTACACAACTAAAAATTGGGTTACAATTTCTCCTTATAATTGTGCATAGTAACAGTTCTAATGACACTTATCCAAGAAGTATAAGACACACTGTCATGATATGTATTATTTAAATTCAATATTTTAAATGTAAACTGTTAAGATGAACAGCATTGTGTTAAAATGTTTGTATAATTTCAATTATAGGTCCTTGCTATGTCGAGTAGATCCTGGCTGAGCTACACATACCAGAATCGGTTCCATCTGACACCACTGTCTTATGAGACCCTGGAGTATGCCTCAGGCTTTGCGTCAGAACAGTGTCCAGAGGGCATTGTAGCCATTTCCACAAACACACTCAGGTAAACAAGATAAGTTTCTACTATTATCATGTGTAGGATTGAGTTCCAAGAGCATCATAAAATTTTACGTTTCATAGTAAACCAAGATGTTGAAGGTTATTGCTATGAGGGTGGCAAGGTGTGACAGAAAAAAGTATTCTTTCCATTAGAAAAAATATACAGTTTTCGTGTCAATACAAGACCGTATAAAGATACTTTGTAAAGACTGCATGACAATGATGTTATTTATCTATCCGTGTTTCACCTGAATCACATTGATTACATATAGATTCTGATTCGTGCAGTTTTAGAGTATCAGTGATAATTTTCTTATAAGGAAGGACTGCTCTAGATATGCGGGTCAAGTGAGTTGTCTGTATAAAAATATGAATGAAATAAATTGTTTGTTGCCCATCCAGACATACCCAGAAAATTGAAGTTAAATTATGCAGGTCAAACAATTCTCAAATTCACAATAATTCCATTGACAATTTTTCTATATTGAAATCATTGAGCTAGACAGATTAATTACCATTGTCACACAATTCACAAGGAAGTAGTTCCTAACCTAACCCTGTTCAATTCACTAAATAACTGAATTTTTAGCCCTTAGAAGACAGAAAATGAAAATACAATTCAGGTTTTCTTTCCAGTAGTTAGGCATCATAGACACAATTTTACCCAATCAGGTTTATTTCCCTCATAACAAAATAGTTTGCTTCTGTTAGGTCAAGGGGGAACAATTGTAAAATGCATGTTAAAGGGTGAATGAGAAGTGATGACATGAAATTCTCTCTGAAAATTGAAATGCTACATATCAAATCATTAAATACGTAAATTGTTTGCTTTGATGATTATTTTCATTGTTTAAGGGGTTTTCTAAAGGATATGTCAACTGAAGATATCGTAACTGTGAAATTGTTAGGTTGATGTTGACAAATTGTGTGTAGAATTGTTCATAAAATTTTGGGATAGGAAGAATTGTTTGTCAAAGAGCTTCAATATTACAGAAAGAAAGTGAATATACCCTCACTATGAAGTGACTATTGGATTTTGTTAGTCACAATTTGATTCAAAGTAAAATTTCCATTAAGCTTTACTTAATACATGAAACATAACAGTTTTAAAAAGGAATTAAAACCAATTGATTCCACTTAATGATATTGAATAGCTTATGTCTCTTTTCTTTGCATTGCTGCACATATGATGAAGCATTATTCTCCACTTCACATGAAAAAGATGATTAATGAACTTTCTGATTGTGTGGCAAAACAGTTTCATAAGACATTTTGATATTTTGTACATAATTTAATTTCAATATTTCAAGATGATCACCCATTGTCTACATCACTGATTCTTGCTCAATTACAGGATTTTAGCTCTGGAGAAATTAGGAGCAGTGTTCAATCAAGTGTCTTATCCCCTACAGTACACGCCTCGTAAGTTTGTCATTCATCCAGAGTCCAGTAACCTGGTGATTATAGAAACAGACCACAATGCTTACACAGAAGCCACGAAGATGGAAAGAAAGCAACAGATGGCCGAGGTAAGTCACATACTACTTACTTTTCTTTCGACCTTCTCATCAGCAGTCATTTAGAAATTTTTTTGTTTGCTCTTATATAAGATTTTGGAAACAATTTAAAATTAATTGATCTTCTTTCTTAATGTGTAGAAGTGGTGACACTTTGTAAGCTTGGGATTACTATATATAGAAATCATACTTTGATTCATCAAGTTTGTTATGTGTTCGCTCTCTCCGATGTTGATAGGAAATGGTGGAATCTGTAAACGAGGAACAGAGAGAGATGGCAGCAGAAATGGCAGCAGCCTTCCTTAATGAGGAACTACCAGAGACTATTTTTGGTTCGCCCAAGGCAGGGTCTGGCATGTGGGCATCGCTCATTAGAGTCATCAATCCTATCACAGGGCAGACACTGGATAAGGTCCAATTGGAACAGAATGAGGCTGCTCATAGGTCAGTAGTTCACAAGTTAGTGGTAGGTTAGGTTAGTGGTAGGTTAGGAGTCATAGGTGATCAAGATAGGAGTCAAAGGTTAGCAATATGATGTGGCATCTGTAATATGGCAGAGATCAAATGTGATAGATAACATATCAGGTTCTGCAAATCATCTGTTGTTGCACTAAACATGTTATCAAATTATGGTTCTATTTTTCTCTCTCTCTCTCTTCAGTCAAAATTTTCATGCTTTCAATTTTATCTTTTCAGCATTGCCCTGGTGAAATTTGCTAGTAGAGGAGACGATGTGTTTGTGTTAGTGGGTGTGGTTAAAGACTTGGTCCTCAATCCCCGCTCTTTGGGTGGTGGTTATGTGTACACTTATCAATTAAAGGATGGTGAGAAATTGGATTTCCTCCATAAAACTTCAATGGAAGACATGCCTGGAGCTATTGCCTCTTTTCAGGGCAGAGCACTCATTGGTGTTGGAAAGTACCTGCGAATATATGATATTGGCAAGAAAAAATTACTACGTAAATGTGAAAATAAGGTAGGTTCAGGAAAAAACTATTTTTTATGTAATTTGCAAGTTCCTTTTAAATGGAATTATTTTCTCGAATGTTGTCATTCTGATTCTTTGTCAAAGTAAAGAATTCATTTATCAATGGCCGAAATAGAATCAGTGATTAATTACGTTATTAATCATGCACTTTTGTGGGCCTCTAAGGATATTTTAAGAAGGAGCTTATGATGAATTCTTAGATACTATGTTATTTTTTTTATAGCATGTACCAAACTTTATTGTGAGTATTCATACACTCGGAAACCGTGTAGTGGTAGCAGATGTCCAGGAGAGCTTCCACTTTGTGCGTTACAAACGCCAGGAAAACCAACTGATTGTGTTTGCTGATGATACCAATCCTCGCTGGATCACTGCATCATGTATGCTTGACTATAACACAGTCAGTGGGGCAGACAAATTTGGCAATATTACAATCGTACGTATACAACTTTCTTAAAAAAAATAATTCAAGTTAAGATTCATGAAGTTTCATCAAGATTTTAATGCAATAATTTAAGAATTTTTATGTGAAAAGGAACAATTGTTGTTTTAGATTTAATGGAATACATATGATATCATAATTAATTTGTTTGTTTACTTATCTATACCTGAACTTGTATGTAGATTCGACTGCCAACTGACATCAGTGATGAGGTGGACGAGGATCCCACTGGAAACAAGGCCCTGTGGGACAGAGGAGTATTAAATGGAGCTTCACAGAAGGTACAACAAGTTGTACATATCTGACAGATAAACTAATTCAGGAAATCAAAATTTAGGGTCTTTTTTATGATAAAAACATTGACAATTTGACTTCTGCACATTTATAAATCTTTACAATTTTATTGAAACACTATTTGTTATAACTGTTTGTTGTACTTACTAGAATGTAGCATTAGGAGCCATTGCTGATTTGATTACTCTGCCTACCCCCCCAAAAAAAGCAAAAGAAACTAAAAGAGATAAAAAATATGTCTTGAAGTATTTTATGATATTAAAGTGGAAGAAATTTTTAGGCTTTTAAGGATTCTTCCAGAAAAGCAACTAGCTCTGCCAAGGATTCCAGGTTTTCTGAGAGGTACCACCCATAGAATAGAATTGATAATTTGCTGAGAAGTTAAAAAAAAACCGGAAACAGGACTTCATAGAACTGATTTACTTTGTAGTCCTAGGATTGAGATGTTTTGCTGGAATAACCATAACAATTTGTTCAGTTTTTTGTGTGAAATTATGTTCAGAATTGAGGAGTAAATGTATTGATTGTTGATTCTCTTCACAGACAGAGATTGTGTCCAACTTCCACATAGGTGAGGTAGTAACATCTCTTCAAAAGGCAACCTTGATCCCTGGTGGGTCAGAATCTCTTGTTTACACTACACTCTCGGGTGGAATTGGCATGCTTGTGCCCTTCACATCGCATGAGGTAATCAGCTATTTTGAATCATGAGTTCTATATTTTTGTGGGGATTCATTTTAGTGGGTTTTATTCTAGGGACACTTTGTTTCATATATAAATATTGCTAATTAACCTAAATATGTTGACAGTTTGTCAACATGGAATTGTGGATTAAAAGTAATCAATAATTCAATGTAAATAAATGTCCCACAAAAATTAATGATTTTACTGTATGCTTGTGTCAATCCCGAGACATCTTTAGATAATGTGGATCTTCTCAAAGTTTATTGCCAAATAAAGACAGTAAAATGAAGACATTAATTTTATTTGATCTATTGTTACAAAATCAAATATTTCTGAACAAATTTTTTAAAAATCAATGAATAAAATAATTTGTTTTTATATTGTAGGACCATGACTTTTTCCAACATCTGGAGATGTACATGAGATCTGAACACCCCCCACTCTGTGGACGTGACCACTTGTCTTTCAGGTCCTACTACTTCCCTGTGAAGGTACCCAGAATAACATTGAATTATATGTATAGTATCTTATATAGAGGGTTCTACATGAGTTTTCATTCATACAATATTTATGAAACTTGCCTTAGAAGTTTAAGATGGGATAAAATCAATTTTATAACAAGTTTCATATATCTTATATGAAATGGAAATGATTGATGTGTTAAGTACATTACTTGAATACTTTTGCAACATTGAATAATAGCGCAAGGTAAATACACATTCTAAATTTGCAATATTCTTTCTGTATGTCTCTTCCTTGGGTGACATCACAATCATGTGATTCCAAGTTATTGCATCACAATGAGAACCTTCAATAATCATGGCTCCACTAGCGACATCTGTGTCATAACAAAAATTATTGAGTGGGTGTTAGTGCTGATAACAAGAGTTTGTTTCATGATCAATGACTTACTGTTACAAAGATTTATGGATCTTTAAAATTGGAATTTTCATTAAGCAAGATAAAATACTAAACTTCGTAATATGTTTCATAATCTTCAACTGCAGTTGATAACAAAATGAAAGTCCTTTTTACCATATTCACACGGTCTATCATTTTCGCTATTTATTGTGAACTGTTTAAACATGCTTTTCCAACTTTAAATTGATCAAAAATTTGGCAAATTGTAAGTTGATATCATCTTCATTGTTCATTGGATAAACAAATCCAAATTTAGAACTGGTGCCAAATCAGAATAATACAAAAATATATATATATTGTGTCTATCTTTACAGAATGTGATAGATGGTGATGTTTGCGAGATGTTCAACTCAATAGACATCTCCAAGCAGAAGGCTTTGTCAGAGGAGCTGGACCGTACACCTAGTGAGGTAAAGATTGTCGTTTAAACCCTCAACCAGTCATAAGTAGAGAAAATCCTGACAAACACTTGAGGAACATGTCGTCACTATTTTATCCAACTTGCGAACTAGTATTTTAAAGCTGTCTCTTTTGCAAGACTCAACAGCCCGGATGCCTGATATATTTGACAGAGATGAACAAATTTGCAATAATATTATAATGTTTTAGTATGAATATAAAAATAAATTATTATTTCAGTAGAATAACCACAAAAAGTTCATCTATACATACACATTCTGAATACCTTCAAAATATTAACTTTCATCATATCCTTCTTCACAAGTTTTGATTCAACTTCACTAATGAATCATCAGGCACCTGATTATGTTTCTTGACTCATTATACAAAGTTATGTTCATGCTCTATATTAAAATACTGAAATAAAATGCAGTGAAATATGAGGAAATCTATTCATTAATGAAGTTATGGAATTTGTCATCTTTTTGTATAAATAACATCATTGTATCTTTTTTCAGGTTTCAAAGAAATTGGAAGACATTAGAACAAGATACGCCTTTTAAATATGACTACTGACTTAAAGATTAATTTATGATGCTAACTGTCCTGACTGAAAAAGTGAGTGACCAGGTCTGGCCTGTAGCAACACCATCTGTACAGATCTGACTCCCTGTGTACATGGTCTGACTGAAAGTTTGAGGGACCAGGTCTGGCCTATAGCAACACCATCTGTACAGATCTGACTCGCTGTGTACATGGTCTGACTGAAAGTTTGAGGGACCAGGTCTGGCCTGTAGCAACACGATCTGTACAGGTCTGACACACTGTGTACATGGTCTGACTGAAAGTTTGAGGGACCAGGTCTGGCCTGTAGCAACACCATCTGTACAGGTCTGACACTGTGTACATGGTCTGACTGAAAGAGAGAGAGACCAGGTCTGGCCTGTAACAACAGCGTCTGTACAGATCTGACTCGCTGTGTACATGGTCTGACTGAAAGAGAGAGGGACCAGGTCTGGCCTGTAACAACAGCGTCTGTACAGGTCTGACTCGCTGTGTACATGGTTTCGTGCACCAATTACACTAGATGTGTTCGAGGATATTGAAACAATAAAGTTGCTGGATTTAAACAGATGGATTTTGTATGCTTGGACGAAGAGATTGTGGTAACAATGGTCAGGATTTGGGGAGATGTTTTGGACTGGTAGCATTTTTAGGATATTGTGACTGCCTGTGTTTGCATTGAAGGTAGTTCTGTTGTTCCACAAGACTGTAGAGCAAATAAATTGTTCAAATGACAACAGATGTTATTCCATATTCAACATTGATCAGGTGATGCAAGGATTGTAGAAATTTGCAGAATTTGGTAATTAGCACAGAGATTTCATTTTCATAATCCATTAAGAGGGAGCTTGAGTGGTGAGAGAGAGAGTGATAGGTAAGAAAGGCTGATGGTGTTTGAATGAAAGATCTATTGGTATATGTACAGATATTTGAACAATTTCATAAATATTCATTGAATCCGTGTGCTTTACAAAAAGCAAATTTTGTCTTGTATATTGTTCTGCAAAAATGAATAAAATACGAAAAAATTAAAACAAGTGCTCTGTTTTTCTTTTATATTTGATATAATGAGTTTCATTGAAATAACACATTAATAGAATGGCGATTATATCAGTTTTGTCAGAGGATGTGATCGGACTATTTCAATGGTGATTTATGAATTTACCACAGGATACAAGACTGATCCATCTACTGTAAATTATGTTAAAGTTTATACAGAAATAAAGTTAATATTTTATTTGTACTAGGTCATCGTGGAAATTGAACGTGAAGATTTATTAAAGGAAAAGTACTGTCCTTGGGTCCATATTTGATCAATGTTAGAACAGAGTTGTGTTTATGAAATAAATAAAAAAAAAATAGCTGTCTGGTCAGTGTTGTCAAATCATTTACTAAAAATATTGAATGCATCACCTCAGTTTATAATACTTGCCGTTCAATCTGTTGGTGAATGAAGTTTTACTCCCGGTATTGGAGAACTGAAGACTGTCCTGGTTGTAGTGGAGCCGAGACCTGGTTGATACCACAACACAAGAAACAATAGCATTAATCGAAGGTCTGACGAAATCTACATTTTTCAAGAAACTGGTGTGATTGTGTTTCACAGAAAATACATAAACAACAGGAGATGCAGGCTTCAAAACAAGGTTACATGATATAACAACACGACATTACAAAGACCTACCTTTTTATATCATTGTGCCCGGCTAATAGTGCAATGTTACTCAAATGAAACCGTTATCTTTAATGATTTTTTTTTCTTTTTATTATACAACAATACAAATAAGGTAATAAAAAAATGTAAATAGATTAATATACTTTATACAGTACACCGGCCTTACAATCATATGTTGTAGTATATATATCAGATTCCAGCCAGCAACTCACTGATTTGTTGGGTCGACCTGAATAAATCGTAAAAAGAAAAATTAGAATCGATCGATATTTCCTGATGTTTTGCTCAGTATGTATTTGTAAGTCAAAATCTCTCTTTGGATTTAGTTTGATCAAAATATTTTTTCAAATAAAACAGAATATCCTCTAAATACATACAAGCGTGATAACTATACAACATTTTTTTACTTTGTGGCCCTTTGAAACGCCCTGTCATCTTTGATTTTGAAAGATCATGAACAGACATTAGATTACTAGAGGTTGGCGATTTGGTGCTACTTTTGTATGTAACAGCCTATTTAAAGAGATATTGTACTACCGTCGAAATATTTGTACTATGGTATGGTTATGTTGACGGGAGAAGCAAATCAAAATTGAAAATCCTGTATTTTCCACTGCCATTGCCATGGTTCTAGAGGGCTAACAAAGATGGTAAATACCTTGGAAGATTGATAAGCCACCAGCTGTTTGGGGTTTTTTCGAAAAAAAATTGCGTGAGCGAAATCTAATAGAGAAATAGACTTTCTTTGAAATTTCTTACTTGGCAAGATGTAGTCAGTATGATAAATATCTAATGTTTATTTGGTGTTGTTACAATGGTTTCCTTTGCAATGCGTTCCTTCATATTAAGTATAGTAATATTGTGTCCGACCATTCCACGAAATCTTCACATTTTGATACTTATATGTGACTGTAAATTGACGATGCTAATAACATTTTCTAGATTGCCATCATACTTCCCTGCTTTCCCTGTCACTAATTTCATTTCTACACTTCCAACTGCACCACATACATATCAAGATATCCCCCCCCCTGGTTTTTATTTATTGTACTTGCGTGTCTCTTGGGCAAACTAGTTCCTACAACTGTCTGTCATCTCAGCCTGGTATAAGCTTATATTAAAGAAATGTCGTGTAAATGTGAACGTAAGTTCTGTGTAGGGAAAGCCATTGTACTGTAGGATAGATAATGTGTACAATAGTCAATATTTTTGCCATATTTTATCAAATTATCTTAAGTAACACAGGCAAAACGGTCAAAATTGTTACCGCCATGGTTATAGCAAAATACTAATTATTGTAACCATATATTACTATCTGACTATAAAGTATCGACTCACTCGACTCAGCTTTGACTCGTCTTTTCGCCTGCTCAAACAAAATCATAGTAGACCCAACACGATAGTATTCATCAATAGTCCACTGAATTTCAGTTGGAATATTCATTATTGTAGTATTCCCCTCCGGGTATTAATTAATATAGAAGCATGAACTTTCAATTCAATTACAATCCAGTTTGTAATTTCTCTCTATCTCTATAATTATGTTGATCAGAAATATAAGACCGTGACATATTTGAAGTTCCTCGTGTACAAGCATATATGCAGATGGGTTTGAGTGTCAATTAGAATCTACAGCGTTTGTATAACCTTCCTTGTGATAGTGCCAAACTGAGGCCGACTTTATAGTGCTACCACACTGAATTGTACTACCGAAGGCTCCAGTAATACACTCAACCCGGTCACATTATACTAACAGCCGACAAACCATTCGTTACACTACTACGATATTTAGCATTAAGCATGGAGAAGTAAGATTCCAAATTTAGACAGCTCTTGCCTTGTGAGTCATGCAATGGAAACAGCAGGTCAAGTTCTGACACCCTGTCTGTACTAGGTATGACCTCAATACTGACCTTTAATGATGACCTACTTCATATAACCACAATGCTGACCTTTAATGATGAAGTACTTCGTATAACCTCAATACTGACCTTTAATGATGACCTACGTCGTATGACCACAATAATGACCTTTAATGATGACCTACGTCGTATAACCTCAATACTGACCTTTAATGATGACTTACTTCATATAACCTCAATACTGACCTTTAATGATGACCTATGTCGTATGACCGCAATACTGACCTTTAATGATGAAGTACTTTGTATGACCTCAATATTAACCTTTAATGATGACGTAATGGATACACGTTTCGGTCATCGTTCATAACTTCCTGATTTTGAAACTTATTATGGCACCTGTGACAAAGTTTCATGGTGACCTTTTGCGTTACTTTTTGTCCGCCGTCGTCAGTCTGTAAACTTTTAACATTTTTCACTTCTTCTGGAAAATCCCCGAACCAATTTCATTCAAACTTGGCAGAAACCTTCCATGATCAATGGTAAACCAAAATTGTAAATCGTATGGTCCCCATCCCCCAGGGGCCTGAGGGAAGGAGCCAAAAATGACTGAAATTTCAACCTTGTTCTCGACACCCAAAAATTGTAGAATAAAATACTCTTCATTGATAGAAGGGTCTTCAATGGCTTTACCAAAATTGTAAATTTTATTACCCCAGGGACCCACATTTCCCCCTGGGGATAGGGTAAAGGTTACTAAAGCTTATATAGAAAAAAATATATTTTCGAGCATAATTTGTTCATTTTCTATTGAAAACAGACCCAACTTATTAGAATTGTTAATATAGGAAGACAGTTTGATGTTATACATATATTGACTCTGGCTGACCCCCAGGGGCTGATGGGCGTGGCAAAAAATGTCGTATTGACTGAAATTTCAAGAAGCATCTCATAGATTAAAATGCTCATCGTGGATGGAAGAGTCTTAGAGAAAACCTCTTATATCCCTGTACAAATAGCATTTCTCATTTTCCCTGGTTTCTACTACACATTCATTTCAATCGTTTCCGTTTGCGATTTATTCAGGCGACCGTTTAGGCCCCTGGGGCTCATGTAATTGACATACACTAGGCCTACTTCAAACTAAAATAGCAGGTATGTTGATCTGAGAATAGGATAGCTTCGCCGCTAGGTGTATTGGTCTCAGTACAGGAGCTGTTTTAGCTATATTTTCGAATATTTTGGATTTTATCAAGAACGGCTTTGTTTTATTCCGATCACTTTAGAATCATTCATTACTTCAGAAATTTTATTTCTTACGCGATTTTTTTACAACTCAAAACAGAATAATTAGTATTCTGATTTACGGGTCAATATAGCTGTATTACGTAGGTCGATACAGCTATTGTAAGTCTTTGAATATAGACCGATCGACAGCTTTTACGGAACCTGAGTAGGACAGGTGTATCACACCGTTAGATAATATGTATTGACTGATTGTACAGGACAATACCCATTGTGTTACTGTTCAGAATATGATCCATTTGCCTGAAGACGCCATGCGTATCTCGATTCCTTTATTAATTATTCATTATTGAATTGTACTATAATCAACAAAACCTATATACATACTCGTGTTTCCATCGATGTCTAGCACAGAGGTATATACATGTATCTTTGCTATTGTGCAGGTTATTTCCTCCACACGCACCAAGCCGAATGTGTACATGTTAACTGTGTCGGCCTTGGTTCAGAGTATAAATGCCTTCATGCAGGTTGGAAACATAGACAGTCGAACACATCAAGGTTCTAACCAACATGTTTGTAGAGGTAAACTAACATTTTTTCATTTCTTAGTCTTCATTATTGCCGCAACACGTGGCACCAGCTTACCTGATAATACAGAAAGGACCCTCATTGAGAAATTGCTGAGAAATTATGACGTCAATGCACGCCCAACGTCTAACCCGCAGGATTCTGTTCAGGTACGCGTGGGCTTCGCGCTGGACGGGATCATCCAGGTTGATGAAGAATCCCAGACCATAACATCTACAGGTAAAGTCACGTTCGTGTGGAACGATGAGTATCTATCATGGAATGAAACCACATATAGAGGAGTGAAAATGTTAGCCCTTGATAGATCACGCGTTTGGTTGCCCGATGCTGTGATTCCAAGCAGAAATGGCGGCGATTTCATCATTAACGAAAGCAAAGGATATGTGAATGTCAACTCTGGCGGTCAGCTGACATTGACATCTCGTGGGACGTTCGTCACTTTCTGTAGTATGGCTATGACAAAGTTTCCATATGACCAACACAAGTGTTCTATTATTATAGAACCACATGTTTCAACGAGCCAACAACAAACATTTTCTGCCATGAAGAAAAACAGCACGTCTTCGTTTCAACAAATTACAACATGGTCATTTCTGCGTGATTCATGGTCATGTTCGGTCAATGGTCAATCGGACTTGACTCGGTACAGCACGTGCAGGCTCCTATTTACGGTTACGAGGGAAGGCGAACGTCGTTTCATTATCTCAGCCATTCTACTGATAGTGTTATCCATAATGAGCTGTTTTGTTTTCTTTTTGTCTGCAAAAACAATGGAGAAAATGGTGTTTATATTGGTTGTTTTCGTAGCTTACACATTCGTGTTTACCTTTATCCAGGAATCTTTCCGAGATACAATAAACGGATACAGTTATTTGTATATATACTTTGTTACAGAGTTTGGCATTATAAGTTTAATGTCCATCATCGCCATCTTTACTATAAACATTACATGTAAAGATGATTTGAATATTCCCCCTTGTCTAAGGTGTCTTGCAAGGGTCGTCACATGTAAATTGAAGAAACACGTCAACGTTATCAGCTCAGAACGAAATGACATCATACGGGCCCCGGGGGTAGACATGGCGTACAAAAACCGGACCGGAAAGTTCAGTGACAGTTCCGGATCTGAATACGTCTATGAAATCACATGGGTGGATGTAGCGGCTGGATTGGACAGACTGTTTTTTATTCTGTTTTTAATTGTAAATATTGTTCTACCTGTGATCGTGTTCAATATGATCAATTCTTGATTTTTTCTTAAGTCTTGTTAACAAGGTCATGTTTATCTTGATAAAATATCTTATATTGACAAACACCTTGCAAGATGTTGCATTGACAACACCCAAGTTTTATAACAACACTTTTGATATTTTTTTATGGGAATGCTGAATGTCTCTATCGGTAATGCTATTGTTTACAAAATAGATAGTAACTCAGACATGGTAAGGACATAATATTTAATTCAACACTCACAAAAACATCAACGACCATCAGGTCCCGGAGGTTAAAAGACTGGTTAGGGATAACCAGTGATTATAGAAAACAAAAATGAATATGAATGAAACAAAATTGGAAATAATTTTAACCATTGGTGAAAATCTATTGAAATGGGCCAGATTCATATATTGTGAGTATCAGTTTTGCCTTAAACACTCTTGGCTGTTCCATGGCTGTCACAAAGCAACATGGGCCTAATTACAACGTGTTGTGGACAAAACCACGATACTCAATCGGATATCGGATGGATTTTATTCATTGTTGATAAACATTATTGATTTACGAATGATCCGACTTGACATTGATAGCTTGATTTGTATCATTTTCATCTATAATATGTTAATTTGATATGTACAATATATGATGATTTGTCTTCTTTCTTGCATTGAACAAATGACTCTTAACGTGATATTTTTTCTGAATTTCAATGAAAAAAAAATATGTGTTTTTCCATTGCTTTAAAACATCTGTCTTTATGAAATAAAATCTGTTGATGGATTTTAACTCACAATATTTTAATAATTTTCTGTCGTTCATGTCGGGAATAAGTACTCTTTGCTATCTCCCATCAATCTCAAATATATAGTGTTTTAGCCTTCCATATTAATGATTCCTTGCCTTTACCTGGCGGGCCTTAGGAATCTCATATATCACACGAAGATAGAAAGAGAAAAACACACGCACACAAGCAACCTCACAACAAAACCTATGCAAAGGAGAAAAAATACAAAACAACATTTTGATTTTGTGTAAATCGTTTACAATGTTTTATAAATCTTTCTCCTGAATGTAATGTCTATATATTGCTATCCTGATATACCTGGCCAATTTTCTTTGGATCATACGTGTCAGTGTTATGTCATTTTATATACTGAATAGGCACAGAGTAAAAACGATACAACTATAAACTCACTATATAAATGATTTTCATTATGTTTCATTTTTTTTTTTTAATTTTCGATGGTATGAATTTTGACGCGAGACAGGTTGTTGCTAATGGAGGAAACCGGATTATCCGGAGTATCCGGATTCTCTGTTGGTCTGGTTTGAAAATTATCGATCTAATCGTATGCAGAGTTGTCATCAGTGGTAAAAAAACAAATTGGTTAACTATTAAGGCCGGTGTTCCTCAGGGCTCAATTATTGGTCCTCTTTCGTTTTTAATTTATAAAAATGATATTGCTAAAGATACACATGGTAAAATCATGCTATTTGCTGATGACACCTCTCTTTACGTAGAACTAGTGCCGAAATCCTAAATCAAGATCGGAATAAAATTCATAACTGGTCGCAAAGATGGTTCGTTTATTTTAACTCCTCCAAAACTGAGACCCTACTCATCAGTAAAAAATTCAAACCTTTTCACCCACTGCTAACCATGAACAATATTAACATATCTGGGGTTACTTCTCACAAACATCTAGGTATTTTTCTTTCTGGAAATGGTAATTGAAATGACCTCATTAATTATATAATATCTAAAATTTCACCAAAAATAAATATTTTGCGTAAATTTAAGTTTTCGCTAGATCGGTATAGTCTCCAAACCATGTACTTTACTATTGTTTGGTCTATGTTAGAATACAGTGATTCAATTAGAAGCAGCCAGGATTGTCACTGGTTGTGCCAGACTAACAAGTAGGGTAACGTTGTATATTAAAAACAGACTGTCTACTCCTGAGAAAAGACGGAAACATCACAAACTTTTTCACAAAATGGTGCCCGGTCTATCCCCACAATACCTCATAAATATCCTTCCTCAGCGTAACCGAAATACTCGTACTGGAAATAATTTTCGTCCCCCGATTAGCCATACATGTTTCTTTAGCAAGTTCTCCTTATCATCAGTCATTTCATGTTGGAATTCTCTACCAGATCTTTTCATGAACGACCCTTCTATTTATAAACTTACAAAAACATCTATGACCAACAAAAAAAACCAATATATTGAACCTGAGCCGTGTTAGTGAAAGGTGATGTGCTTTCCACTGCGCAGTCTAGCGGTCCTCAGAGTGTTAAACACAAGGATGAGGAAGGCATTCAGGAGGGAAAAAAGTATAATGACGTCACTAACAACAAATAATGAAAAATACTTATAAGTTAAAAAAATGAAATATTTTCGTTAGTTTTGTTACAAAAATTAGCTTCTTTTTTTTTATAATGGCCCCGATTATTTAAACACTAAAAATCGTATATATATTATTTCAAACCGCGATATTTTGTTAACGTACATTCCCACATCCCAAATGAGTAGGTAAAAGCAAAAAGCTTTGAAATAAATAATTATTAGAATCCATGTAGTCTATCTACATACACGTGGAAACAAGCAATTAAATCGCTGTGTTCATTTTGCAGATACGTGATGAATATGCAATCATACAACTTTAAAAAAGGCAAAAACGTTTTAATAGACAAAACAAAATCCATAAATAATGGACAACTGGAACATTGTTAAGGTGTTATATAGATAAAGGTACAGTTAATGTAGGTAAGCTCTATGCCCAATTAAGGGGGTCACCTTTAATCTTTATTTGATCTTTTGCATTTCTTACAACATTCACATTGACATCTTGGGGAAGAAAATGGAAAACAAGAACAAAAACAACAAAAGTAAGAAAAAGCCGCCCGAAGTAGCGCCGTAAAAATTAGTCGCAGACATTGAAGTGTACATGTTTACAATTGTTTGTTAAGATTTAATTAATTCTTATGCAAACAGACAAGTGTCACACATCACCTTATGTCACGTTTGTTTAAGCCAAATTACTGACATAATTCGGCTTTTTAAAAGCAAATTGACCACAGACCAGCCGATGAATAAAGTTTACCTGTAGTCGTCATGCGAGTGAACCGTCGCTGTCAGGTGGGCTGCACGCGCTAAAGGTATAAAATTTGTTAAATTAATTTCTGGTGAAACATACTGCCGTATTTGTTGAACAATTCACCAGGAAGCTTAAGGAAAGACTCGACACTAATATTCTCTGAAGAACAGTGATTGAGAGGAATCTTTTATTTGACAACCAATCTTCAAGGTAAGTCCTTTGGATATTTTATAACATTTCACAATTGATATATGTGAACTGATTAATTATAATGATTAATGCGGACTAATTATTTTCATTAAGAAAAAAAAATAAGAAAAAAGAAAAGAAATACAGTGTTATTCATTTCCACACGTTGTGTCCTTTTCCTTTTTGCGAGCACGTTTATTTCAACTAATATTTGTTTCTTAATTAATAACAATGATTAATATAAACTTTATTTTATTCCATAATAACATGCGAATAATACATAGCAAAGTATACATAGGAATTGGAATTGGAAACAAGTTAAACAACTTATATAAATCCTTTTCCATTGAATATCTAAACTAAATCAAGCGTGATGACGTAATTGGTGAATTATTGGGAATTAAAGTACAGACAGTTAATAAGAACTCACAATTACAATGATTTACATCAATTTTTCAATTTTCTTGAGAAAAAAAATCTAGAAAAAAAATAATAAAGAGAAAAATCGTGTTATTCATTTTCACGCGTTCTGTCCGTCCTTTTCCTTTTCCGTGCACGTTTATGAATCAAGATAATATAACCCCAGAAATCACGATCACAAATAGGAAGGTTTGTGTTTTTTTTCTTTTATAAAACTCGTTACGTAGTTACCAGCTACTTCACAGATATCTGGGGCGATAAACCAAGCTCTGTGTATGGAACGATACAAGAGCGTATATTGTAATTACTCATGCGTGGCGTAATTACTAGTGCGTAGTGTAATGGTAGTTACACAGGTACAGACCAGCATTCCATCAGTCAACTCAACGGACAGCAGCCAGTATTTTCATGGAGAGTATGTCGAATGAAGATGAAACTGATTGAATACTTAAATATGTCCTTATATAAGCACCATAACTTTTAACAGGTTAGAGGTTTTTTTACTTAAATATGTCCTTATATAAGCACCATAACTTTTAACAAGTTACAGTTTTTTACTTAAATATGTCCTTATATAAGCACCATAACTTTTAACAGGTTAGAGGTTTTTTTACTTAAATATGTCCTTATATAAGCACCATAACTTTTAACAGGTTACATTTTTTTTTACTTAAATATGTCCTTATATAAGCACCATAACTTTTAACAAGTTACAGTTTTTTTTTAGTGTTTTTTTGTATTCGATGACTTTTCTTCGTTTTAACCATGTATATAACCAATTCTCTCACGGAAATAGATCATTTTAAAAACAATTTTATGAGTTAAACATATATTCTCTTTTCTTCATTTCTTAGACTTTAGCTGGGTTTTCCAAACCACACATTTCCCCATATGCAATTTGTTTTACTTTTAAAGTATCATTTTCATGAAGTTATCATTTATTGTTAAGGTTTTAAGATGTGGAGACATTTGAAATTTAATCTAAAGTTTTTTTTTATTTTAAACCAATTGCGTAACAAGTTTTTCCAACTTAAATTAATCACTTTTATTGTCCTGGGTTGAAGCGCGCGAGGAGTCTTACTTGGTGGGGGTGGGAGGCAATAATATCACCAACAAAGCTATTACGTAAACACTTCAAATTATATATGTATTGTATATACATAATGGTATCAATATGTGAATGAAAATAACAAAGGACCAAGAACATATCCCTGAAGTCCTCCAACGAATATACCCTTTTTTTTACGTTAGTTTGAATTCCATCGCCTAATAGGGTTATTTAGAGCTGAAGCAAACATAGTTGTATATGATTTTGTTTTCTTAAG